CATGCCGTCATTGCCCAAACCGGATTCATGCTAGCGTTGGAGAAGTCAAATCCAACTTCATCTCCCGCCCAGCTTTACCTCCCAATTTTTCCATTTCTTCGTCTTGCCAAACAAAATAATTTTTTACCCTCATACCATCCAGAATCACTCACTCATCAACCATATCAATTCGCACCAAACACTCAGTCACAATGGCAACCCTTCACTGTAAGTCCTTCTGCCACTCGTCCAAGCATCGTCTATCATGTATCAAGCTTGCATCACTGGTCAATCTTTATTTGCCTACTATTAGCCTTTGATATCTCCCATCACCATTCGCTCCGCTTGCCCGTTCAATCACCAAGCCAAGCTCCCTGAATCGCTCTCCCCTAATTCCGCCACCTTCCATATCATCCCTCCAGCATCCCCTCGTCAAGTCTCCAAGAATGGTTGACCTTGTACCAACACTCATTTAACACCAACTTACAGACCTCCCACCTGTCAAGCCTTCGGCCATCGCTCTCGGCACCATTTTCAATCACGCCGCTTCGCTTGCCATCCTCGCACCTGTCTTCGGTGACACTTATCACCGCGCACAAGCCGCAAATTCCAAGGAGGAGTTCCTCAAGTCCAAGGAGGCCGCCGGTGCCGCCGCTGCATGGGGTTCATCCCTAGTCGGTAGCGCCGTTCAGTCTTACGGTGTCGGTGCCTTGATCAATGCTACTGGTACGCTGAGCTACAAAGGTGCCGCCTATCTGGGTAGCTTGATCTTCATGGCTAGCTCTGCCCCGAGTGTACGTAACATAGCCCTGTTTTCGACCTTTTAAAGCGGAATGATCCTGGCTGACATCGTGATATCATAGTTCATCTCTCAAATCTTCACCGAGAAGCGTCCTCTCGACACTGTTGCAGTGGGCGCCCTTGCCCGTGTCTTCGAGACCGTCGGTCTCAGCTTGTTCCTTACATACTGGGGAACCCACACCAACCCCTTCGACTAAACGTACCGTTTTTGAATGCAGAGCTTAGGCCGCCTTTGAGAAGTCTAGATCAGCAAAATACAGCAAACATGGAATACGAAACAAAGAGGTGGGATCGTATGGTTCTTCTAGCCAGCCGACGATTGTGCTTCTGATGGCGTGGCTACCGGCGGTGTTGTAGTAGTTTTGTGTGTATCAACAACAACTTTATCGAGAACCCAGCAAATTGCTCTACTCTCTATATTTCGACCCCACCGCTGATTGATCTGACTGCTACTAACATTGCCTATGCTTTCTATGAAGCCTTCTATTCGTCACTTCAGGACACTAGCCACCTGTAAAAGCCAAGAACTGCTTTCAAGGTGATTTTGTACGACTGCACACTCCCCCTTCTCTGAATCGGAAACACTGTCTGTGGTCTTGTTGCGTGTACACATCCTTCCGTCGTGTACAGCATTTACTCCCTGATGTGGACACTCACTTTATAAATCATGCTCTCTCCGCAAGCCTACATATTGTCACAGCTGACAGAACGCAGAAGTCAGAAGACAGATATTTACCATTGTCTGTTTCATCTTCTATGTTCTTTCCACGGTCCTCGTTCCTCGCATAGTCCATCGTAGAATTACGAATGAAGCCTGTTGGGTACCGTTAAAGATGACGTAGTACTTGAGTTGTGCTGTCCTGGTTTCGCGAATATAAATGGGCGATTCTTGATTGGCCACTTTCTAGAGCTGTAGCTCTGGTGTGGATGGAATAAATGACTGCCGAGTTTGCAGCTTTTGCACATCAGGTTCCTTGTCCCATTCCATGGCGTTCTTTCCAAGGTTTCAACTGCTAGAGCTCTCCTACATGCTAGACGTGTCTCTCATCGCGACTGTATGGATAATTTGAGCAGGTCCCTCATTTCAACTCGACTTGAGCCTTCCAGACAGAGCCCACGGCGTTAAAAAACCTGATATGATTGCAATGTTTCACTTGGCTGGTGTGAATTGACTGGGAATGAATGTTGCATTTTGCTCTAGACAAAACGGCTTAAATGAGGCTTATGGTGATAGTAAAACATTTAGCTACTCTACACTGAAAGGCCGACAACAAAGCTCGCACGTCTTATCCTTGCGAGACGAACATCAACATTCATCAACGATTAGCACGGCGGCGGGGACCCGAAGCCTGCCATTCCATGAGAGGAGCCCTGCCACGGTTTTGTGACGCACGATGATCCGGGTCCCGTGCCACCAAGATATTTTCGCCATTAGTAGAAGAGTAAGGTCTCATCTCGCCGTTCACGGGTGTTGGACCGGAGTCGAAGGAATTATTCCGACGGAAACTTTGAGTGTTAGCCTCACCGCGGGAAGGCAGGGAGCTGCTATAGGTCGGCTGGCGCATGGGAAAATGAGCGCTTACAACAGCATGCTGGTGCGCTGGAGTTGTGGTCACGAGCTGCTGGCGGTGAGAGCTGGAGTTGCCCGAGGGATGGTTGGTCTGACGGCTGCTGCTACGAACATGGCTGGAAAGGCCAATGCCTCTGTCAGAGGAATGCCGGCTGGCAACGGACGGCGTCCTCGATAATGTGATGCGACCTTCCCTATTCGGAGACGGATCGTGATTCCGTGAATGAGCCGGCGACTCAAGCTGAGATTGCATAGCGAGTGCTGACTGTCTTCGATAGTACAATGTTGAGCCATCGCTACTGACTGACCGATAGCTGCGGCTGCTTGGATCGATTGTTTGATCTCCAAGCTCAATTGGGAACATGAGGCTTCCTTGGTGGTAACCCGTAAACCGACGCGCAGGCGGCTGCCCAGTGGAAGGCAGTGACGAGCTAGGCGAGCTAAAATCCAATGAGTGTTCGGTGTCAAAAGATTCTGGTGGTGGCTGCCAGCCGCCTCGCGCATAGACGGGGCCTGCGGTACCCGTGTTGGCACGGGGAGACTGACGGCGATCCATAGGTGGCTGCCCATTGTTGGTCCTAGCCCCTGCCAAGGACGTGTTGGATGGCTCCATCGAAGAGCCAGGCGCAAGCATTGAACGACTGAGACCACCTTGAGAGGGGTGCCGCTGGGGCGTGATAGGGGCTCGTTGAAAGTGTGTAGCGTTGACATGGTCGTGCTGGTAATCCAGACCATGCATGTCAGAAGATGGAACCCTAGCCATATAGACAGACGGCTGCGGCATGGGAATGGGTGGAGGCGGCATTTGATCTCTACTTCGACATACTCCGAACCCTCTCCCGCGAAGTGCGTACTCAGTCTGGTGTTCGGTATCGCTCCGCGAATCCACACGCTTTCTCTTCGAGGAGGAACCATGTTGCTGCATCGAGTCCTGTTGCGTGACGCCACTACGGCCTTTGAAGATCCCAGCGCCTTGCTTCAAGCAGTCGAGATCAGCGGCACTACCCCGGGCAATGCGTGAACCTCCGTCCAGAGGAGAGGACTTTTGACCTGCGGGCTTGAGGTCCATACTCTGATGCTGGGAGCGCATATCCATTTGCTGCTGAGGGCGTAGACCCTCGGTTAGGCTGACACCAGCAAGCTTCAACGTGGTCTCAATGGATGAGACATCTTCGCCCAAGGCCATGAGCCTCCGTCCTGCGGATAACAGCTCACTGAGAAGCAAGCTCAGTACCCTGCAGCAGAGGCGTAGGCACATGTATCGCAGAACTCACTCTCGCAAAGGAGCAACACTGCTCAGAGAGCGCACTATCTCTGGCTTCTTATCCTCCCATCGCTTGAGCGCCTTTGTCAACCCTATGAGCTTCTCGCGTGTTTTGGTTCCGGAACGTAACAGAGAAAGGTAATGAAACTTCATGATGGTCAGCCATCGCAGATCAAGTCAAATCCAAATTGATTCACCCACTCGTAGTGCTTCAAGCCCGGGGTCCCCACCACTGAGCTCGATTGGGGGCATTTGGAAGTAGACATCTGGGATGTTCTCATCGTATTGGCCTTTGGAGGTCCCATTGATAAAGAAGAGCGCCTTGTTCGAGTGGTCGTCCTTCTCAATAGAGCAAAGGGGACACGGCGCTCGAGGAACCTCTTGAATGGAGTGAAATGGTGCGCCTGCATGTCTGGCGTATTAAGTCTATCTATAAAAGACTCTGTGCTGCTGGTGGAGCACAGACTTACCTCCACCTGGAAGATGCTTTCCGCAAGTGAGATGAGCACATTCAGTGAGCCAAAGCTTCGTGACTTTGCCGTTCTGAGAGTCCTCGCGATCTTTGCGTATGAGGCCACTGTTCTGGTCATCATCGGCATATATAGTCGACAGTGTCTCCTGACAGATGGTGCAGCTGAGCACAATGTCGGCAGGCGAAAGTTGAAGGCTCAGGCTCTCTTGAGTAACTGACATTATTGGCCTGGGAAAGATCAGGCCGAAGAAGGTACAGCAAGAGTTTAAGTGACGGACTATCAAACTGGACCCTTCTTTCAGTACTTTAGATTTCAAATGGGGCTCGGGCTGTTTGTTTGTCTTGATAAAAGCGATGTTAGTGAGGTCTAGGCATTGTTGTTTATGGAGACCCACGTTCCCTTTGTCGAATAATATTCTGCATTCTAGACATAAGGCAAGGCCGTTTAGAGGTTCAACAACTCATTCAGTGCAAGAGAGATTGGACCTAAACTGTATCACGTTTGGAAGGCATGGACTTTGAGATAGGTACACAATGGCTACACACGAGCAGGGTACGTGCCCGCAAGGCCAGGTCACGTCCTAAACATTGTCGCTTTGGAGGGTTGTGCGCGAATGCAGAGACCAATATTTTCTCCCCTGCAAGTTAACAGAAAGGCAATACTCGTTAGACGTTTCAAGGGATGGAAGTAATGTCTGTCACCATTCAGGACAGAGCATGGTGATAGATAGGACAATGATTTTCAGTGCCTGTTATCAGTGTCTGTAATATACAGCTTTGACGATCAGCTATGCCACGAACTAAACAGCCAATCAACGACCCCTCTTTCATGCCGATCTTCATACAAAGGTCCGACAAGGGTACCTATGACAATGTCTATCAGCAGTAGCTCTCCGACACGAGGCTTTATTGACCTACTCCTCTGGATATCCTTGCTCTCTGTCAGCGTTCATGACATATTTCCTTCCTCCCACTGGAGATGCTCTGCTCATGCCACTGGGGAAAGGTGGAAGTCCATCCGGTCCGAAGATACCTGCTGTAACATTCTTGTCTTTCTCGAAAAAGGCTGACAGTCCCTTTTGCTCTCCTTCTTGCTTCAGCTGCACCATTTGCTTCGCTCCTGCGTCTCCTATCTGTAACACATCTTCTTTTGGATTTGCTTTGCTTCCTACAGACAATAACCCTACAACGTCTGCCTGTTTGACCACGCTGAGTCGGGGATAGTTGCGGCGTATGTCTCGTTTGTAGTACGCGTTCTCTGCAATGTCGCCAGCTGGTACAGTGACTGGGTCATCATAGGCTTCTGGTGGGTTGGCGCCTGGAGGAGGGTTTCGATATTGAGGGTTCAGAGGGATCCCAGTCGACCTTTCCGGGTCAATGGCAAGAGCTCTCCGAATGCGCTCCCATACACCATGCGACTGAACAGTGTACTTCTGCTTGACTCAGCGCTATATCGGCGAGGATTTGCGCTAGAACTCGCCTTCCAAACCGCCGTAGCCGTCCTCGCCGATTGAAGTTGCCTCGCTGCTCCGGCTCCAGCATTTGTGGCCATGGATGCGAAGAAAAAGGCCTGATATTTGAGAGCTTGGTCAGTCCGAGATCCATTTTTGGATTCGCCTAAAGGGCGAGGGTTCGTTTACCTTCACTACTGCTTTCACATCTACCAGCTATCAGCTGAATATGTTAGGTAGGTTGAGGATAAGCGGAATGAGTCTTTTCCATACGGACGCGACCTGTTCATAAAGACGCGACAGGGATTCTGGAAGTGCCGAGCGTGCCAAGCAGCTAAGTGAGAAAAGAACAGGCATACATTTGTTATACTGGAGAAGGAACATGGTTCAAAATCCCATTGCTCGTCTGCTTTTGGAGCTCTGTGCAAAGCCCGCTCTTGATTGGAGAGGAGTCGGTGTTACCCTTCGTTGCAGGGTTTGGCAAGAGATTGCCTGGGAATGGCCTACAAAGACATCCTAAGCTTGTACCCCTCCGTCAAGATTCTGTGCAGAATCTGCAACTTCTGCTGCGACCTCAGCTTGGACTTCGTCTCCATCCGCCGTTTGTGGCTGCCCGACCTCCTGAGCACTCGTTCTTCCTTCTTCAATTTCCTTCTCGAGCTTCTCACCTTCCGCTACTTTCTCTACTCTGTCACCAACTTCCTCCCCTCCGACAATTTCTCGAACAACATCAACGGTAGCAGCAGGACCCTGGTCAAACCTTGAACATTGAATTCGAGGTCACAGGCACGGGAAAAGCAAAAGACTTACACCTAGACTAACTGCTTTAACTTTCCCGTCTTTGTTGACAACAAAGACGCCTCGGGTGGTTCCACTGGGGGATTTCTTCATACCAATTGCACCAATAAGGGTCGCCGTCGGATCGCAGAGCAGAACGTACGGTAGATTCTGCTTAGTCTTGAACGTGGTATTAGATTTGGGAGAGTCTGTTGAAAGGCCGTAGATGGAATATCCAGTTGCTGTAAGAGGCGTGAACTCGTCTCGAAATAAGCACGCCTCTAGATTACAAATCCGCTATCAGTATTGCCTGTTTGAGGAGGTGTATGGAGCCTTGGAGCAACGAGTGAAGACTCCCGAGACATGTCTCGAGACTCAACTTTTGCTCCAAATGGGGGAATATGAGCTCCATAGAAACGTACGAGTGGTACCTAATGAGGTGACCTGTATCAGTATATCTAGCGTCTTACTTCAAAAATCACACGTAGCTACATGTAAGTAGAATACTTGAAAACGACAGAGGAGCTCGAATTGAAAACAGTGGAATGCCTACATCCAGGTGTTGATGCTTTGGGATACGTAAAGAGGACAACCCCAGATTTGCTTTCATCCACAAGTTTCTTCAATGTCACTTTCTCGCCATCGTTGGTCTCGACCTCTCCACCAAAACCATCGATCGTAATGGTGTCACCCACAGCCACTTTCCTACCCGTAGCCGCTGAACCGTTTGCGGACGAATCGCCCTTCTTGCTAGAGGTAATTGACTTGACAGAGTTGGCTTTCTTCATTGGTGGTCGTGATGGTGCTGGGTCAGGAGGTGCTTTGCGTTTACGCAGCTCTACCATCTTGGCTGTATGATGAGTCGCTCTGTAAGGAATGCAATTGAAACAGAAGATTGATGATTTAGTCAATCGAGAGGATTTTGGGGGGATGAGGGGGATGGTGAATTGAGGTCTACTACTTGTGCGGATCAAGGGCAATTGATGGCTCCAGCTGGCATTATCGAATGCTCTCCGATCGCCTTCCCGATCCCGAATGTTGGATCCATGTCCTTGATGCGTGCGCCACAGACGCAGTAGTATTCGTGGAAAGACGCGGGGGGGAACTTTCAATAGTACTGTAGTACGGAGTAGAGTGGTGGAGATAGAGTATGTCGATACGAATAATACCGCTTCTGAATTTGAGTATTTGACAGATTCTCTAAGGGATGTATTACGTGTATTCTGTGATTTTTCTGAGGTCCTTTTCTCCGAGTTCGTCGGGAGAAAATTTCCAGGTAAAGCAATTCCGAGGATAATCCCAGGGCAAAATTAATTTCTTCACCACAACTATATGCATATTCGCCCATAGCTATCCATACATAGTCCTGATGAGTTCAACATAATCTCATCCTAAATCGAAGCCGTCTCTACACCTCCGACACCCATATTAGACTCGCTTTGCGTCTACGTACTTTCCACCCACTTCGCCCCTCAACCTCTGATACTCAGAGAATGCGCGTCTTTTCCTCCACCTATACCTTCGACTACAGCTGGAACGAAGTCTCAACAGCTAATTGGCTCAAATACTGCCCTTGGAACAAATCTTCTTCACATGTCATCGCCGTCGACACCCTCTCCCGCAATGTCGATCCCAGCACTGGCATATTACGCACGGAGCGCCTTATAACATGCACTCAGTCCGCGCCAGCATGGGTCATTGCCATTATGGGTGGTAGCTGCACAACTCACTCATACGAAACATCCTATGTGGACCCGGTGGAGAGACGCGTGACTATGTGCAGCACCAACCTCACATGGTCGAATATGATCAGTGTGCGAGAAACTGTGGTCTATCAACCTGACGACAGTCGAAGTGAGCCAGGCCACGAGCGGACCAAGTTCGAGCAAGAGGCAAGGATCACAGCGTTGTGTGGGGGTTGGCAAAAAATGAGGTCCAAGATCGAAGAAGCCAGTGTGGAACGCTTTCGAGAGAACGCCAGGCGAGGGAGGGAAGGCTTGTAAGCACCCTTCCTGAGTTGTTTCTTTCCCCTTTCATATCATTTTTCGAGCAAACTCAATAATTTGTCCCAAAAAGAAATGCTGACTTTGAGATGGTGTAGTGAAGCCGTGCTGGAGATGAGTAGGAGGGTATTTGGAGAAGAAAAGGAGAAGGAAAGGAGAAAGCAGGAGATGGCGGCGTCTTGATCGACGAGACCGGGCTCGCTCTTCGGGCTTGCTCTCTTGAGGATTGCATTCATGGCTTGGTTTAGCGGTCATACAGACTGGCGTTTTGATACCACGGGATGATCACGAATAGCGAGATGTCACCATTTCTAAGGCGTCTAATCGGGCAATGCGTGTTCCCTCTTGCATATATATCTATCACTACAGAGCCCTCAGAAACATAGACCAGCTCGGGCGGGAATGGTAAATTTATCTTCCTGAATTTATAAAAAGACTCCGGAGTCATCCTCGGTCTTTAATCCAACAGCGAACCACCCCGGTGTTTCCTGTGATATACTCATAGATCCACCTTGACCCTCCGGATTGATGAGTAAGACACAAAGTACAGTTCTTCTACCAGCCGAGAAGCGATATAGAGATGTTTCTCAAGTCGCACCCACGGAATGGAGAGTTGTCCTCCTGACACCCTGAGTAAGCATGGCAGACGTTGATGAAACTTGTCCCACCCACCTTGATAGATTCATGGTTCTGTGAGCTGAAAGTCCGTTAGCTGGGGCTATGGTTGTGCATGCGTGCACCTCAGTAGTTAGAAAGTCCCACCATGGAGGTCTCGTATAAGACAAGACCTGACGTCACATGCCCGATCTTGTTGATCGAAACTTGGCACATTTCTAAAGCACTGCGCCTAATTGTGTTGTGGCTTCACCTTGGATTGTTGATGTAGTCGAAATGGATTGGGTGTGGTGGTGGAGGTTCTCCCAGTAATAAAGCTATTCACATCAGGCCCCCCAGCAAAACCTTGCCCAAGCCAGCAAATTCAGCCTTGACTCCTTTTCTGCTTTCCTCCTCAAATTCTTTGATAATGCCTGCCACGATGATTTTGCGTAGTTTCGCATCCGCCTTCGCAAAAATCTCCCCAGTTCCTGGAACACACAGCGCTGGCGAAGGAATGAGACCCATGATTCGTGTGTAGCAATCGATCAATACGTCACACAAGGTTGCAAAGGTCTCAAAAAAGTCCGGATCAAAGGGCAATGACGGAGTGAGCAAGTGTGTGTACTCCTCGCCAGGTAATAGATCCTGCTCACTGGCTGGAAATGATGACGCAGTGGACCCAGCCGTTGCCCCAGTCGTCATCGCCTTCAGATCGGCTGGGTCGCTCGTATTCATTGGGAGCCCAATATCTGTCGCTGAGCTTGTTCTTCGAGCCTTCGTACTGACATGTGCGGCACGCTTAAACATTTGCGGTAGACGTGCCCTAGAAAGAGAGGAAGCAGAACCCCCTTCTGGTGGATGTATCTGTTGGTATGATTCGAACTCCACTAGAAGTGCATTAAGAGCACGGAGGCACTCCTGTGGGTTCGAAGAATTCAAGTCTAAAATGTTGGGAAGGGAAAGACCAAGCAACAGATAGTTCGTTGCCCTGCGGGCAAGCTTTTTTGGCTCGAAGAAGGGTATTTTAGCCAGATCGGACCTGCTAAAGAGCAGCGTATTAAACCAATAGACCCGGCCCTTATGAGCCTTTCTCAAGTAGTCAAGGGTAGAAATCCTCTTGGACGACACGTCATGAATTTGCTGATATACGATGCTTGGATTTTGCACTCCTCCAGTGGAGGCTGGCGGAAGACTTGGGGCTGATAGTGAGGCATTGCTCCCGCCTTGGCCAAAGCTCACGCTCGATTGCGAGGTGCTTGGAGGCTTGCCATACTCGGGCCGAAGGCCGTTTCCAAAGGCAGTAGTAGCCATTGTAAGCGAAGGTGTGGAGTGATTGAGGTCTGCATAGGTAGAAAATGTTGCGACTGGCGAGAGGATTTCGTCCACGCTTTGCTGGATGGATGAAGCTTTATGTGACGTGATAGACGATGAAATCGAAGGCTGGTGTCTGCTCAAATATGAGGGAATGGGTTTCCTGTCCGACAGCTGTGATATGGCAGCTGCGTCTTTGCGAAAGGCTCCCTGGTAGGAGGACCTGGAAGAGGTGGAGGATCGTTTGGTGCTGAAGCTTGGAGAGTGTTCTTTGTCGATCAGATCCCAGGTCTGGTCAGTCTGTTGAGGAGGTGAGATATTGCTGGCGATGCGTTTGGCAGAGGATTTGATGCTGGACACAAAGTTTGTGGTGCTTGTTGGTCCTACCGAATTCCGATGCTGACCGCGCCCCATATCTCTCCAATGGGAGGCTAGTACATTGCCGGTGATGTCTCTCTGGAGTCTGGGTTACTTTGTCATGGTAGGCGGAATACAAAGCTATACATGAAGTTGTTATAAAGCAGGCTGTAGATGAGATGGGTAGCCAATGTAGCTATCTAGTTGTAGGGACAGGTAGTCAGTATCAGGCGCTGGAGAAGGTGAAGGATCGACAGGTACCCCCACCATCCGCCATTTTTTTAGCTCTTTATTTGGGGAAACTCTTTACATCCCATCACTTCCTATGGCTCCGCCCCCAAAATACAGTAACACTGCTCCTATCTTCTTATTGTCCTATCGAATGGACGACGCAGCTGTACCTAAGCCTGGCAAGTGGCCTGTAGAACCTCAGACCGATGTCAAGACTTCTGAGGACAGGATCTGGGTAGACGGCTGCTTCGATTTTGCTCATCATGGTTTGCATGCTCGGCGTCCCGAATTTCGGTGGTTCCAGAGAGCTTATGGAAATCAGGACATGCTGGCGCCATGCTTCAAGCCAGAAGATTGGGAAAAGAGCTCTTGGTTGGGATTCATTCCGACGAAGAAATCATGGACAATAAAGGCCCAACCGTGATGACTTTGAAGGAGCGGTTGGTGCCCCTCAGGAACATATCGAGAGGCTAGCTGAAGCTACAAGGCAGCGTGGCCGCCGTTGATGCCTGTCGCTGGTCGACAAAGTCCGTTCCATATGCTCCATACGTCACATCATTGCCATGGATATCCCACTATGGTTGCCAGTACGTCGTGCACGGCGACGATATCACATCAGACAGCAGTGGAGAGGATTGTTATAGGTATGTCAAAGCAGCTGGTCGGTTTTTGGTGGTCAAGAGAACGCCGGGGATCTCCACAACCGATCTTGTTGGACGAATGCTTCTTTGTACAAAGAACCATTTCATTAGGTCACTCCTGAAGACACTTGCTGGCGAAGAAGGATCTGAAAGCCCTGAAGAACGGAGAAGACTGGGAGACGAGATGACTCAGAGGATCAGGGATTACGCTACAGACGAGACTGGGTTGCAACCTGGACCACAAGTTCTGAGCTGGGCTGGATCTAAGGCGGCCATGGAAGATCATGCCTCAGAGGAAACAGGCACCTATCATACTATGGCCAATGGCAAAGCTCCTCATCAAAGCCAACGTATCGTCTACGTAGACGGAGGTTTTGATCTTTTCTCATCTGGACACATTGAATTTCTTCGGCAAGTGGCCATGGCGGAAGAAGCAATGGGCCATCAAAATGGATGGTATGAGGACCCCAATAAGGACTATGGCCCTGCATACATCGTGGTTGGTGTTCACGATGATGAGGTCATCAATCACTGGAAAGGTGTAAACTACCCAATTATGAACATTTTCGAGCGTGGCCTTTGTGTCCTTCAGTGTCGAGTGAGTGCGGTCCAAACGCTTTTCCAAGCCTCTGAAACTAACCCGCAGGAAGTATGTTGACTCTGTCATATTTTCGGCCCCTTTCACACCTAGCAAAGCCTACCTCACTAACATCCCGTACGGCATTCCCAATGCGGTCTATCATGGCCCCACGTCGTTTATGCCCCTTACGTATGATCCTTACACGGCCGCCAAAGCATTGGGTATATATCACGAGATCGGCAATCACGATTTTCAGAATGTGAACGCAGGGGAGATCGTGCAGCGAATCTTGAAGAGTCGAGAGATGTACGAGGAGAGGCAAAGAGCGAAGGGCGAGAAAGCTGCAACAGAAGAAGCTGTTCAGAGAAGAGAGGCGATGGAGCAAGAAGCAGCAAGGCTAGAGAAGGACCGAGCAGGTAACAGGTGAGGAACCGATGTCCACCATATCATCATTGATCACTGTTGTTGCATGGCAATGGCGTCCAAGTCTTCCTATCGTGACTCTAGTCCAACTCCGACGTTTGTCTCTTTCTCTTTCATGACTCGAGTCTCATTGGCAGCTTTTTTTCTACCTCAGACCTAAAAAAGAATAACACCTTTCCTTACTGCGCGCATCTCCATCTCTGTCATGCGTAGCAACTTTCGAATTCTCCCTCGACGCCATCATCGTCAACGTGAACGACAATGCTTTTCAAAATCGTAACTATCAACCGTCCAACTATCTTTCATTTACCACAACACCCCATTCGTGATCTTCTCTTCCGTACATGATATTGGTAAGGTAAGTCTTCAAGATCGCCGCATACTTGCCCGTCACACCTTCAGACATCGGTATCTCTAGGTCCTTCCCCCGGAAGTGAATACTAGATACCGGCGCAATGAAGAACTGCAAGCTCGTCAGCACATCAAAATCCTTGTCTATGAGAAAACGGGAGCATACCGCCGTTCCCGCGGCAAATGCTTCCAGTAATCTTCCGTCTTCTGCCGCGTCTTCGACCTCACTCATAGGGTATTTTCTCTCCACAACCTCGAGGTCTCCCCCCAACCGCTCTCTTGCCAACTGGAGAATGCTTCTTCTTGTCACGCCGTCAAGGATGATCTTGTCATCCAACGGGGCTGTTACCAATTGCAGCTTCCCACCAATTCTCCAAACCACGAAGAAATTACTCGCCCCAGCCTCTGTGACATCACAGTCCTTACCCAACAGCCACAGCACCTGGTCAAAACCCCTCGCTTTGGCTTCTCCTTGGGCAACTAGACTTGGTCCGTAATTGGCCCCCACTTTTGCGTACCCAAATCCTCCAGGCCAGGCGCGTACGGTATCTTCTTTGCTGGCCAAAAGCTTGAGTCCTGGCCTTGCTTTTGAAGACTGTTGTATACTGTTACTGCTTGGCCCCGCTGTTCCACTCGGCGTGTCGAAATTTGGGAAGCAGCATGCGATGATGTACAAGAGCGCTTCCTTGGGCTTCTGTACCCCCAACGCTGCCGCTGTCGCGATCATTGTCGGTCTCAGGTACAGAAAAGTGCCTGGCCGGCTCTTTGGTAACCACTTCTCACCGTCTACTGCAACGAGTGTCTCAATGAGCTTTTGCAGCTCATCAGGTTCGAAGGCTGGAAGGGATATGCGAGTGGCACTGTTGAGCATACGTCGGGTGTTGCGGTCTGGTCGGAAAAGGCGAAGTCTCAGGTCGTGGCCGCGATAAAACCTCAAACCTTCGAAGCATTCTGTTGCATAGTGAAGAACAGAAGCGGTGGGCATGAGTTGCAACGGTCCGTAAGGTTGGATATGAGGAGCCGCCCACCCGCTTGTCGAGGTCCATTGGCAGGTCACCATATGATCTGTGCACACAGACTGTGTCCAGACCTCTGGAGAATCAGGCTCTGGGACGGCACGAGGACTGAGATTGCGGGTAAAGACGAGCTTAGAAGCGTCTAGCTCGTTGATGACAGGAGTGATATCGCCATTGGGGGTTATCGATGGTGCTGTCTTAGTGATGGTGTGCTTGATGCCACATTGAGTGAGCTCTGATGAGTTCTGAAAGGGTGCAATGGCGGTTGGGGCCATTTGTACGGCGTCAAAGTACAAGAATACGAGAGAAGACAAGAAATATGTATGACTTTTGCTCAATCGGACAGAAGGTGGAGCTTGGCAAGCGATCAATTGGGTAAAGCAACGGACAGGGTATCAGATAGGTTTGTGTTTTCGAAACAGTAACGTAGATAGGAAGGAGCTGTAGGGTTTTATATACACTTGCTGGGCCAAGAGATTGATACCGTCCCTAGAGTACTACATTCCCAACGCCGGAGCATTCGAGGGATCGCATAAAGAAAGTCTTGTTAAGCGGGATGATAAGAACTGATTCAACAACAATCAAGGGCTCCTTTTCGCCTTACAGCGGCTGTCTGTGGGGCCGATATCGCATTTTTGCTTTGGATTTCATGCTGCAGTCTTGCTCAAAATGACGCTGCAAGGTTGAACAGCCCGACAGAAGCCGGACACCCTTATTCTGTGTGATGGCTAAGGTTTAAAACTATCTCGACCGAAAAGCCATAGGTGAAAACCCTAGGCTTTGTGCTGCGATAAGAAGCCCAATTGAGGTCTGTAGCCGCTCTTAACCGTCATTGAGAACGAAAATTAACTGTAGCTCCGCCTCAGACCGAGTCAAGAAGCCACATCTCTTGTACATCACGATATGGACTGGGGTCACTGAAAATCACACCCTTACTACTCGTCATCCCTCAGCATGGCCAGAAAGGATTCCTCGTACTTCTTCTGCTTGAGCTCCAGCTTCTAGTGAAGAGGAATTTGGTTAGCATGCGAAAGTACGATGAAGACAGCCACGGGTTACATGCCTTGTCGCTCTCCGTCATTGCCTCCATCGCCTCCTGTCCAGCTTTCTCAATCTGCTCCATGAATACCTTCCTCTCAGCCTCGATCTCTTCCATCATCTCTCGCTGCTCGGCGTCAACAAAGCTGTTCGGATCGAAATTACCCGCCAGGAGATTGTCAAGTCCATCAGGACCGATTATCAGCGAAGCGAAGTGACGAAACTCGGCCTGCACCTCGGTCCATTCGTCGAATTGGCGCTCAAATTCCTTCTCCTCGGCCTCTATAGTCTTCCGAAATTTCTTCATGCGAACGCCGAGCATAGTCTTGCCGGATTGCTTGCCGTCCGTAGAGGTCCACTCGAGCTCTTGCTCCTCGAGAGGATCCGCAATCGCATCGCTGACCTTGATGGCATCTTGCTCTCTCTGATCGAAAAAATCGTAGGAGTCCACCAGGCGTTGCGAGAGGGCGAGATAGGTGGCGTCGAGGATAGCAGTAGCTTTCTCTTCAACAGTCTCACGCGACTGCTCAATGCTGCCTGTCGCATCTTGATTTCAGAGTGGAGAAAGAGACATTGAATTCAAAGGATCTTACCTGCGAATTCAGCGGCCAGAGGGTGTTCTGAGATGTGCTTTGCTATGTGCTTGGGCTTGTACCCCTTGTTGCTCTTCGAGAATTTGGCAGGTTTCTCAATGGCATCCTTCATATGGTGGGACTTCTCCTCACGTCGAGCCTCCTTCCCGGTTTTCTTGAACATTGAATTCGTTGCGACGGAATTTTTGGCGTGAGCCTTGACGTTGGGTTTGGTCTTTGCCATGTTGAGTGAAGGGTTGAGGATGTGTTGTTAGGTGTAGTAATTGTTGAAATAGACAGTTAACTATGAGAACAAGCCGGTTGAGTAGAGGAAGAAAGTCAAGTTGGTTGTAGAAAAATTTCTGCTTGTGCATGGAAGAAAGTAGAAGTCGGTGGCAAAAGAACCAGCCTCCTTTTCCATCAAAGTCAACAATGCGAATGTATCCCAGCTCAGCCCTCCAGGTCTGCAGAACGATAGATGAACAACCCTTGCCGAACGGTTTTGTTTTACTCTCTTTATGAAACCATAAATTAGTATTGTGGGATGGGGTCTTAATCTCGGTCTTCGATCGTAGGAAGCCAATTTCTGTTGAGTTGTGCATGATGAACATAATCAAACTACGGCGAACCTAGCAACATTTTAATGACGCTGAACTCGTCAGGTATTCATTCGCAACAGAGGCGCCTTGCTTTGTTCTCCAGAAAAATTGTACAGCTATCAGCTCACGATTGTGCAGGTGCCTCTGAAGGTGCTTCCGAAGGGGATTCTGCAGGAACAAGAACTCCCTTCTCCTCCAACATCCTGGAAAGCTCTCCGTTCTGATGCATCGACATTAATATGTCACACCCCCCAACAAATTCTTTGCCCACGTAAAGTTGTGGTATCGTAGGCCAGTCCGAGTATTCTTTCAAACCTGACCGGAAACATGAGCACGTACTGGACGAATCTCGCAGACAAAAGGGGCTCGTGCCTTGCCTGAGCTCCTCATCTTCTAGCACATTGAACGCTGAGAACTTGTTCGGATCCACACCTTGCAATCCAAGAATCTGTATGCTTGCTCTTGAGAATCCACATTGTGGTGTCTCTGGCGTACCCTTCATGAACAGTACGACAGGCTTCGAGGCCACGGCTTGGTCTATTGCCGCTCTTGTTTCTGTAGACAGAAGTCGTAGTTGTGAAGGTGTGAGGCGCGTGAGATGAGGTTTGGAGAGATTAGCGGCGATTGGTCGCGAAGGCCGCGATGCATGGCGGAATCCCTGGGATATTCAGCATACTGACCATTAATGCACAACACCAATCTCACCTGCGAAAGTATTGTCCTGCAAATCATCTTGGGGTTTTGGAAAATTAGAACGAAGTTGGAAAGGGCGAACTCGATATCTACTTCGTGAGCCGTTGCCGATGACGCAATTTCAAGATCGACCATGCGACGGACCCTGATCATCCACTTTCTGGATTCTAGATTCCTCTTTCTACAGGCTTACTGTGTTGTAGGAGATTGCACATATTAGTCTTCATCGCCTGGACCATAGAAGGTATGATTGCACTTAATTGTATATGAAGCCACCATGACCTCTACTAATCCTCGCCCTTTGCCAGGGCAACCATCCAGCATTTCAAATCCCTTCGTGGCATCTGAGCATGCTGGTGACGACAAGAGACACCTTCTCCTAGCCTCCAGCGGTAGCGTTGTGACTATCAAGCTTCCCAACATTTTGAAGGAGCTGTCCCGTTACAATGAACTTTCTATTCGAATTGCCTTGACAAAAGCCGCTGAAAAATGATTCGCAGGCCAAAGCGCCGAGCAGCCTTTATTTACATCTCTCTACAGTGGCAAGACTGTTGACGGGATATACCGTGATGAGGATGAATGGGACAACCCATGGGTGAGAGGGAGTGGGGTAGGGGTATTCTTCACATTGAGCTACGACGTTGGGCGGATATTCTCGTGATTGCTCCTTTGTCGCCAAACTCAATGGCTAAAACGACTGCCGGCCTAGCGGACAGCTTGCTACTCTCTGTGGTACGGGTCTGGGACACTACTGGAGAGGTTGAAGGCAGTAGGAAGAAACGCATCGTTCTGGCAGCAATGAACACAGCGATGTGGAGGCATCCCGTTACGAGAAAGTAAATTCAGGTGCTGGAAAAGACTGGGACGTTGACAAAGAGCATGACGGATGGATCGAACTATTGAGACCTGTGGAGAAGACTTTGGCTTGTGGAGACGCAGGAGACGGCGCAATGCGGGAGTGGAGCGAAGTTGTATCAGTCACTGAAGAGCGGCTGAATCTCAAAGACAAAGACATATGAACAACTTGAAAACTTTCGAACCTAACACTTGCGCGCTGTCCGCAGCCTGGATGCCCAAAATCACTTGGGCTATGAGAAACTCCTTCCAGATATCCCTTTTGCCTGGTTGAAACGGCTTCTTACCATGCAAGATGCACTCGTCACTCAATTGTCGACTTTCAAACCCTACTGCCGTCTCTTTCGACCGCCTATGGAAGCGCCATACCAAGCAAGAAAGCGGGTTCGTTGATGTTATGATGCTGATAGCTGTTATATGTCAATACGAGGACTACGTCTTGAGGACGGTAATTAGAGAATACCTGAGAATGCCGATGCCGCCAGGCTCGAGCATCGCCGATAATGGAAAATCTATGGGGTAGTTGAGCCATCTTCTAACAAAGCTTCTCAGATTATGTCCATGAGCGACCTTGAAAATTAGATCAATGAATACAAGAAAGTCCAATTTCAACTGCTTACGAGGAGGACATCGCAAGCGTTCTCGCCGTGCATATTTGGCTTGTGAATCTCGCGTATCCGTTCGATTATGCTGTCTAACCTCTCTACTACTTGTTCAGGGGACCTATATATAGCATTCATCAACAACGGCCCCTTTTAAGGTATGGTAGACAACGTACTCTCCTCCTTCACATCCGTCTCTGAAGTGGTCCCAGTCCTTACCGTTCAAGCCTCGCTTCTCTCTCAATTCTCTTATTTCCTTCGTGTTCAAGCCTTCATAATCTCCATAATTCCATTCCGACAGTTCTGGCGAGACAGTAGCTTTAGATTTGAGCAAATTTTGTCGCGTGGCAGGCGCAAACATCAGCTCGTATGTCTTACGGGCCCTTTGCATCGGGCTTATGAGGATCAATGACAGCTTTGCTGGATCAATCAACTTGCCTTTTAGATTCCGGAGTCAGTATTCCTTCTCCATATTGATATTCGAGGGGTGAAATGTGCCAGTGGAGTACAAATACTCTCAAAAATGTCATCACTGTCTTATAACTCACATAAACGCGGGAGTGGGGGGGGTCCAGGGGGAACGCTCCGAAAAGTGGACTTGCCAGGACCAATCAGCTGGTGCGCTGATCTTGAAACTTGAGCTTCGCCAGCGGTAGTAAGAGGTAGGTCAGTGGTACCAGTCCACCTGCAGTAGATTGTCAAGGATTGTCACCGCTTCGCGCAAAAATGGGTAATATTGTTTACCTCCCGTTCATGCTCCACTCAGTCTGACCTATAATGTGTTAGCATGGGACATGACGATAGAAACATAGAAATAGGCAAACCATGACGAGCAAGGAATACGCGAGGTGTGCCAGCATCTTTGTCGGCGGCCATTGAGTGTGAAAGTTCGATGCCCCAATGTTGACGAGGGAGCGGGGTATAATCAGTTCAAAAACAGCTGCGAGTCAAAACTATAACCCTCTCTCCAGTTGATTTTGTCAAGACTGAGGTACCTAACACCTGAGATTCTCGGGTCAAAGAAGCACCTCGGAAAACGTCATTGGATCCGCTCAAACGCTCTACGATACGAAAAATTTGTTGAATTGACAGCACTGGGCATGGAGAATGGTAACGTAGTGCTCCAAACCGGTACCAATGGCTAATGTTGAAGATCACCAACGAGTTGTGGGATTGTGAACAAGAAGCTAAAAACCCAGACTACTCTTTCCCAACTCCGGTCAACAATGCAAAACCCGCTCAACGTGAGGCCTCCGCTTCGCCTCTTCGCAATGCCAGAAGAGCACGGACATCAGTGACATATTGCAGAGCCTCTAAAACCGGAATAAGGTGTAAAAGGTCGTTATCGGTGGGATCGTTAATCCAACCCTCGATGGGTATTGCGTTGTCTATGATAAATCAGTCAGATACCATGGTTTAGGTCTTTGGTAACATTTTTACCTTCATGGAATATGTAGCTCAAAGGGCTATTGTCAAGTATCATGACCTTGCTCAGGTCTGGTTCCACTGAGCTAAGGTCCTTGATATATGCCCCATTCCTGAACGTACAATGCTGGCGGTAGTACCGCGCCGAAAAATATTTCCGCTCTTGCTCAAGCCAATCGATAACGGGATCTGCGTATTCTTGGACCGAAGCCGTAAAGACAACAAGATTATACCATTTACAAACGTGTCGGAGAAAATCGTCACAGTGTGGGCGCTTATGTACGTAATAGAGAATAGGATGTTGGGGTCCAAGAGTAGCTCCCCCATAGCCGACGGTCGTATTTAGCTTGACCTCTACCATGTGGCCGCTGCTCATTCTGCCCCCTTTTGCCAGGCTGTGGATCAGTGTCTCATCTAAGTCTATTACCAATGTCTTCTGCGTGAGTCTAGTGGAAGTTTGTGAGGATATTTGGTTTGAATAGGAAGGTTGCCGCCTAGGAATGAGAGGTCGCGGTGGAGCAGGAGCGCGAGGATACTTGGTAAGTTTCAGAGATGATGCAGGTGATGTTGGCGACTTTATGTTCGCTACTGTAAGCGTAGGTTGTTGACTGCGGCCAATAACACCGGCCCCATGCCCAACATCCCCTCTCTCTTTTTTCTGCTTCCGCCGTCGAGTCGTGTCTTCATTGTACAGCTTTATGCGAATGGATCTCCTCGCCTGCGGTACATCATCCGATGAAGATGACGTGTTGAGCCTTGGTCTATTCTCCCGAGGCGTATCAAGAATGACGAGCTTTTCTCCGACCTCAGCTTCGGATTCTGAGGTTGCTGGAGAGATGCAGTCGGCCTCTTTGGGCTTGAGCCCGAGCTCTTTCACCGACGTTTTCCGGCGCAGATTCTTGTGATCTGAGCTTGAAGAGAATGCAACAGCTGGAGCATCTGAAGATCCCGAGAGTCCAACAGCCTGTGCTGTAGATTTCCTTCCGTTACGCTTCGGCAGAGCGCGGCTTAACTTGCGTACCGGCAGTAACGGAGAGAACCTGCCCTTCTCGTCGTAAAAGCCTGTAACAATGTAGAGGCCGGGCGAGACTAATGTAGAAAGCACCCATTTCAAAGACTCGGTCAGAGCATGTACCAGTCTTTTTGCTGCCAAACGGAGTTTGCTGTATCTTGGACCAGGTTTCGAAGAACTTTCGGGTTCCATGGCCCCGGCGAGCAGCGGAGTACCCTCGCTCATCTCGTCTGGCGTCGTCTCAACGCCCGTGTCTTCTTCGGCATCTGCGCTGCTAGGGCCCGCCTCCTTCTCCTCGACCGTATCTGTGACGCCTCCTTTGACATGCTGACTGGCACTTCGCTTTGATTTGTTGTCCGTATTTCCTTCTCTCAAATTACTGTCACTGTAGGACCGGGGTCTGTGGGTCGTAGGCGTTTGAGGCGGGGTTGGACCGATGACGCGAGCGGACAAGATGTTCAAAGAGTTCATCGTCCGAGAGGAGCCATCGAACTGCTACAGGAAGGGCCCTGGTGTTCTGAATGTAGCCAGTCAATTTTAGTGCCGCAGAAAGGCAGTCTTTAAGTAGATGCGCAGCCCGAATGGAGCTGTTGTTTAGGCCCCCCAGCTTGCGGGCTCGAAGTTGGGGCTTTGTCACTCGCTGAGTGTCAGTTGCGACAGTTCCCAGATGGCGTGCGCAATCCAACGGTTGCGATATTTGTGATTTCCAGTCTGACAGAGTCAATGCCTTGCTAGAGACCCAGGGGCTTCTTTGGTGTGGGGCGGCGGGGGTAAACAATGTATTGGAGAGGATCGGAGGTTGGGAAAACAAATGATCCCGAACTGTTTGATAGCTTCATCTTACAGTAACTGTAGATGACTACTAAATACGACCATTGACCCTTAAATCTTTCACGCACTTTCAGAGTGTCCATCCAACGTAGTCTTGAGATGCAAAACCATCCGAAACAAGAACTGAAGTGCCTATCCCTCCACCGAACGTCTACCAGCTTACAACCGCCGTTCTGGCACCCAATCAACGCCCAACCACAGCCAATTAGGCCAATACATATGCAGCGGCTTCTTATCAACTGCTCTTTGTCTCTAGAATACTGACCCAAATTCTTTGCAAACTTGGCGACACCGCTATCATCATGCCTTCTTCAGCAGGCGTTCTGACCCCGGCTCTCACAACCTTCTCCAGATCCGTTAGGAACAGAGGTACTCCAATCGAGTCCTCTATAGAGAACCTGATTTCGTAAGAACTCGAAGTTGTGGCAATACCATAACTTGATGCTGACCAAAACAGCCTTCTAAAAAGACGTCAAATTCGCGATTCAAAACCCTGTGCAATGGCTACCGCTTACCTCTTGCGCCGGGTAGTGGAGACATTCAAGATCGCAGATGTCTCGGGACTCATTGAACGGGTGCAGCAAGTCGGAGAACGATTATTAGCTGCGCAGCCGAGGGAGTTGGCCATTGGGAACATAGTACGCCGTGTTCTGGGTGTCATCCGAGAAGAGGCAGAAGAGGATCGAGACGGGGAGACCAGTGGCTACAGCGATGCGGACACAGACAGTCGGCCTCATTCCGCGGGAGAGAATGGTTCAAGACTGCCTGAAGCACCTGGGGCCGTCTCGCGGGCTCTCTTGTCAAGTCCATTGCGGCGAGGTGCTAGTGACCAACCTTCGCTCGAACCTCATGAAGACGGAGCATTCCAACGCCTTCCAGTTCTAACAGCGCATGCTTCATATGCAAGTACGAATACTGGTCCCGTGGTGACGTCTATGTTCAGCTTGCTATCTCACCCTAGATCGAATGTAGCGTTACCCACTGCTACTCCTGGCTCGCAGTCCGCTGAAAGCCATCCACCACTTTCGAACACGGCCCTTGCAAATCTTACTGCTGCCAAAGATCTCAGGGCAGAAATCGTTGAAGGAATACAGGAAATACTTGAGGAATTGAATCAAGCGGATGACCAGATAGCTGGCTACTGTCTAGAGCACATCCATTCTAACGAGGTCATTCTCACTCACACATCCTCAATCACCGTTCAAAAATTTCTCCTCAAGGCAGCCGCTAAACGAAAATTTACTGTGATCCACGCCGAAACCTTTCCCAACCACCACGAATCTACGCATGCCACAGTCATTGGCAAAGCTAAAGGGGAGTCGGATGACGAATTGAGACCAGAGTCATTCCAGAAATCGCTGACTGCAGCCGGCATCACAGTAATCCTAATTCCCGACTCAGCTGTGTTTGCCTTGATGTCGCGCGTCAACAAAGTGATTCTCGACACTCATATTGTACTCGCAAATGGGGGTTTGGTAGCAGCAGCAGGGGCAAAGGTTGTTGCCAAAGCTGCGAGTATGCATCGGACGCCTGTTATCGTGCTTAGTGGGGTTTACAAGCTTAGCCCAGTCTATCCTTTTGATATTGATTCGTTGATGGAAAACGGAGATCCAGCCGGAGTGATCGGATATGGAGATGGAGACATGGTGAACAAGGTCGAGTTTGAAAACCCCCTGTTCGATCATATCCCTCCGGAATTGGTAGATCTCTACATCACGAACCTGTGAGTACATCCGCATCGACCATCTGCAAGATTGAAACCACTGACACTATATCCTAGGGGTGGACATGCTCCTACTTATCTCTATCGCATAATTGCAGATCACTACAGAGCTGAGGATACAGAGCTTGATAAACTCAATGCATATCAATGAAACACTTTGCTGCAGTTATTTGTTGACTTGCTACAAAGACGTGGCAACTATAACCGAGTTTGATAGGTCTGACCTTCGCTCTTCTGACAGTCTACCTCTCTGCTCGAAATCTCAAAAACGCCTTGGCCTCGGATAGTCATCCTTTGGGTTTGCCTATTGTTGCATTAGCACAACAACCCTTAGGAAGACATATAACAGGCAGGATGCGATGACAATAGAAAGGGTATAGATTGGGTGTCTCAGGTCTTTTCAGTTCTTTTTTGGTCTTCAAGCTGCAGGCTCTTCAGGCTTTCAATCTTTCAGGAGACCACCAACAGAGCGAAATCCATAGCACGCCCAGACAGTCTTGTTTGCAATTGTCTCGCCTGCTCTATCTTACTGTACACCACTGCCATTGACGAAGATTCGGCAAGGAACAGTAGAATCAAAGTTCCATTGAGTGGTCCATTTTGAATGTACACAAAGGATACAGAGTATTCTGCTCATTGACTTTGAACAGTCCCCCTTGCTGATGTGCCAACCAACAAGACTGCCAGAGGCTTGCCAGAATTTGCATACCCAATTTGGTGTTAGGTCTGCCCGCTAGACGGAAGACTATAAAGAGCTCTTGTGCGGTCAGACCTTTTACCATTGTTGCATCATTGACACCGTGTACAGCATTTCAATAACTTGGAAAAAATTGTAAATTACAGCCATGAATGAAAGCACTTACCATTCAGATTGTCACTTCGCAACCCTGATAACCTGAACACGGCCAATTCAGCTGCTTCGTGTTACTGATGTTTCTTTGTAGAGCAATAGGATCTCAAAGGTGGATGAAAGAGTGATTGGCCTCCGAATTGAATTAAGGTCGGGTTTAGAATATGTTACCCACTTCCCGTATTTTATTCACGGGGCTAGCAGGCTAGCAATACCAGTTTAGTAATTGCTGTAATTATTTGGTACCTCCCTCCAATCCTCTAATTCACTCCTTTGAGGTCTCATATTATCTCAGGCTTCACGCAGGTAGCCTCTGTTCAAGTGAATCCTGCAAGTTGTTCTGGGCTATGGATTTCCTCAAATCAGCCGTAGCCTCTGCCATCTCCAAGGACCCTCCTTTTCCTTACAAGTTTGGTGACAGGTTGACTGTAGATCAGTCAATCTGGGCTCTACATAACGGCACGAAGCGAGTGTGTGTACTCCAGAAACTATGTATCAAATATCTCTGACTCGTGTGCGCCTTTCAAGGAAAATGGGTCGGATTGCAGCATCTTCGCATTCGATGTTACCGCAGATAAATCCCGCTTACCACTCGCTCGGAATGCAGTACGAAAGATGCGAACATTGAGGCATCCGGGAGTGATAAAAGTCTACGATACAGTCGAGGTACAGCCATCATACCGCGGAGAAGGGACATTGGGGCAAATTCTGATACATATGATAGACAGAGACATACATCTACGTTGCTACCGAGAGAGTCACTCCTTTAGAATGGTCAGCAAGACGTAAAAGCCTGAGTGTAGAAACTTCGAAATGGGGCCTCTTCAGTATTGCAGTATGGTATTCGAGGGTTCTGGAAAATGGGAAGCATATTAAACGTTTTCCCAGAATACGTTATCATTCATCAACGACGAGGCTTCTTCTATACATGGAAATGTTCGCCTCTCCTCGATCTTCACCAGCCAAAGTGGAGAATGGAGACTGGGCGGGCTAGAGGTGCTGAGCTCCCCAGAGGACGACGATGCTCTCATCTATGTCAGTCCTAAGGCAATACCCTCTCGAATAACTTGGCTGACTTTCGAAGAGGTATGGAAGCTTTACCCCCAACTCTGGACGGTACGCTCCTCCTGAAATTGCCAAAGCAAGTTGGGACGCGATTAAACGGCATCCGCTTTCCGCAATCGATTCATATAATTTCGGAATACTGGTGTTTGAGGTTTTCAATGGCAGTTTTATCACTGCTGATCAAGTCGGCCAAACAAAAAATGTGCCGCCAAGTATGCATCAAAGTTACAAGAGGCTGCTGAATGCCAACCCTAAGGCAAGATTAAGCGTTTCTCACTTTCGGGATCAAGGGAGGCGTAGTGGTGGGTTCTTCGAGACCCCACTGATCAAGCTGTCGGAAGGCATCGATAGTCTTGGCTTGAAGAGTGAGGGCGAAAGAGAAGAATTCCTGAGGTTCGCATATGAAGAGACCAATAACTATGCTGTGCGCTGACTATCCTCCAGCGAGCTAGACGAAGTCGCGGAAGATTTTCCCGAGGAATTTTTCAGCGTGAAAGTACTTCCTGAGCTTCTGAAATCCGTAGAATTTGGAGGCGGAGGACCTAAAGTCTTCGCATCTGTGATGAAAATAGGAAAAAAGCTCTCTGACGAAGAGTGGGAGTCAAAGATTACTCCCGTTATTGTCAGACTGTTTTCAAATCCGGACCGAGCAATACGAGTTTGCTTGCTTGATTGTCTTCCCGGTATGATTGATCACCTATCTCAGAAGGTTGTCAACGACAGGATCTTCCCACAGATGGTAATGTTCCCGTGCGCCAGCATATTATGATTCACACTAAATCGAACAGGTCACGGGTTTCACAGACGTAGCACCACTGGTTCGTGAACAGACAGTCAAGGCCGTTCTGACGATTATCACCAAGCTCTCGGATCGAACTATCAACGGAGATTTACTAAAGCAGCTTGCAAAAACCTCGAATGACGAGCAGCCTGGAATCCGTACTAATACTACCATATGTCTTGGGAAAATAGCGCGTCATCTGGGTACAAGTGTACGCACATCATAGTTCCTTTCGGGCTCCCAAATCACTGACTCGGCTTCAGACGAGACAAAAGGTTCTTGTCGCAGCTTTTGCACGCTCACTGCGAGACCCTTTCGTACACGCACGCAATGCAGCCCTGCTTGCACTCGCCGCAACCTTAGACCTGTTCACTGATGATGATTGTGCTACTAAGATCCTGCCTGCTCTGTGCCCGTCGTTGGTGGACAAAGAGAAGTAGAATATCTCAAGTGCAGCAAGAATCTTCTAGTCACTGACACTTACCAGGCTTGTTCGTGATCAAGCAAACAAATGCTTTGATGTCTACCTTCAGCGTATACGCAAGTATGGATACTCACTTCCGGACACAGTCTTGCCACCACCTGCCATTGTGGTAGCTAATGGTGCTGTCCCACGTATGGGCACGCCTCAAAATGACACGCCAGGATGGGCTGGTTGGGCAATTTCGTCCTTTACGAACAAATTGGCCACCGCTAGCGGTGACATGCAATCGAAAGCTGTGAAACCTCAGCAGGCAAAGAGTGACAGATCATCATCTGTTCCCCCAGCGGCAGATTCCTCTCATCCTCCACTTTCAGCATCAGCATCCATCCTCCATCGCCAGTCTGTCACTGGCACATCCACCCCTGCTCGAGTGCCAACGCCCACTGAGCAGTGTTTCAAAAATCCCATCGAGGATGACGAGGACGTTGACGAGGCTTGGGGTGAAATGGCTGAAAATTCCTTCTTCGACGCTCCAACGGAAACTAAGCCAAATCCAGCTCCCCCAATCAGCTTTGACGATGGTGGCGAGCCGGATTTTGAGGGATGGTTGAAAGCGCAGGCTCAGGCTAAGTCTAAAGCACCATTGCCTAAGGGATTGACCAAGCCTTCCGCCAATGTCAGCAATGTTAGCAATGGCAGGCAAGCTGTCACAAGAACTACTACTACTGGAAGCGTGGGCGCGGGAGTCGGCGCAAAGAAACTGGCGAGTACCATTGCTAAGCCCAAACCTGCGACTACCAAAGCCATCAGCACGAAGCCGAAAGAAGTGGATGATGATTGGGGCGACGCATGGGACTAGTCGTTGTAGTCTGGGATACCTTGTGGACACTTCGCGCGCATAAGCACGGCCTTGGGATAAAGGTGTTGCCGGAACTGTCCTTCTTTTGGAGGACGAACGCATTCATGAGATACCCGAAGTGTGGATGACCAAGTGTATCTAGAAGAGCGCGACGATGGTCGCGGGCCTGCAAAAATGCGCTGTGCACCCAATTGTGACGGTTGTAATCGACTTAGACCCCCCTATTGTAGCTCATGAAAAGAAACTTGTATACGTTCCATCACTGAAGCGTATCGTTTTGAACCCCAGCGCCATCGCTGAAATCGAGGTTTCGCACATGATGCTCGTCGTTAATGATTACTTCTTGCTCATCTCTCCGAGTAATCGTTCAGTGCCACACAAACAGCGCCTCTATGATGTCCATTGTACTGCCTAATGACTGCCTGCGTTCCCAACTCCCACAATCTGGCGTAATGATCGCTGCTCGCCGTCACCAGATATGCACTATCGGCACTGAATGCGCAATCCCACACCCATCTCTGGTGACTCTCGAGACTCGATTCTAATGGGAAAGCGCCTGGTTTACGCTCGGTAGGGAGATTCTCGTTGCCCTTGACAATATGTGGAGCTGCTGGGTCAACGGACCAGATGCGCGCATTGTGATCGGCGCTACATGTTGCCAGATGACGAACGTCCGGAGAAAGGAGGACTCGAGTTACGTAAGCGTTATGAGCCTGAAAAGACGTCACCGGTATCAAAGAGGTGATGTCACGGTTCTGGAGCATGCGCCAGACGTAAATGTTGCCCTTGGAAGAAGAATGTAAGTTAGCTAGGATTAGTATAGCAGCAGACGGAGCACGCACCGAATTGTTGCCTGCGCATAGCAACGTTCCATCACTAGCTACCGTAACACTCGACACAGAGACATCTTCCTCCGGAACCAGCTGGTGGGTGCATTTGTTTTCTCCCAGATCCCAAATCCTGACATTGCCCCCTCGATCACAAGCTATCACCTCGCCTTGATTTGGGTGGATCACCACATCATTAACAGGGATTCCGTGATCATAGCTTCGCTGAATACTCCCATCTTTTGTTTGCCACACCTTTACCCAACCATCTTCAGAACAAGTCACCATCCATTTGCCCTCACAATGAAAAGTGACTCCGGTAACGTTCCCTGTGTGCCCGGCGAAGGTCATGACAGGACTCGGATTTGAGGAGCGGATATCGAATAGCTTGACTTTTTGATGGCCTGCAGCAGCAAGGTACCGTTTATCGGGAGATATACAAAGGCGGTTGACTTGCGATTCGGGATGCTGGATTGTGCGATGGCAGATGCCAGAAAGGGCTTCCCAAAAACGTATCGTGTGGTCGTAACCAGCTGGAAGAATCGTTAATGCATAGAGTTTGCGGTATGAAATTTGTAGAACTCTTGTGCAACCTACCTGTGCAAAGGATTACACTCATGGTCCAAGTTTACTGGGTGAAGCTGAGATGCGCAATTGTGTTCTCTTTAGTCGAATCGACACACGCAGCCTCGAAGCCTTGGGATCAACGATACAGAAAAGCTTTGATGTCACAGACCAAGCGCTTATTGAATTATTTGAAAGCCTGCATCAAAAGGCCATTCCAAGGATTTTGTGCGCAAGCTATCTCACACTCAAGCCGCCTTCTAAATGTTTGGTTACCACCCTTTAACTTTAGTCACTTAGGGCATAAGATTGACAGTACCTTTGATTGTAGCGCTAGGGAGCTGTTGAGAAACGAGTTCTAAATTGGTGTCACTAATCGCGCTTATCGCGCAGTCGCGGTAGTCCCGAAGCGAGGCACGACTTCGGACTTGCTTTGCTCTGCATCTTCCACACCGTCGGACATTCTTCCAAAACATCTGTCGCTTTTGGTATAATCATCTAGAATCACAGGTTCTGAGTCAAGCATGGGTTCGAAGGTCAAAATGCTACAGTTGGAGCAGCTTGATTGAGGCACTCGCAAGCCTGCTGCTCCCTGACAAGAGCGAGGTGAAGACATGACTCCCTCATCGCTCAAGAAGATGAGTGGGGCTCAAGAGAGTAAAGAAGGTAATTATGCTTCGTTGGAGAAAACACCATCGGGTAGGTTCACTATTTGCGATCTGGGGCTTACACTTCTCCCCGGATCACAGATTCAGAGAAAGGACGAGAAGGGATCAGGGACTGCTGCTGAGAGCGGTCCAAAAAACCCAGCCAAAAAATGTATTGGAAGGTCGGAACAATGGAAGTCTTTTGAGACTGGGATCCAACTAAAGCATCCAGCCCGGGAAACAGATTTTCCCAACGAGGCCAAGAGCCCAAGCAGCTCTCAATATCCTGATCTAGAATCAGCAAAACCCTCAAATGCGACGGCTCGAATCAACCGAGAACGGCCCTTCTCTCAGGACTTTTCTGCAAAGGATGGCAGTGGCGTGGTGCAGCACAATGGTAACTCCATCGCCGCAGCTCCATACGATGAGCAGATAATGGGCACCGGTGAGGTTAGGAATGCGAACAGCTGTCAAAATGATGACTCTTCTCCTCGTACCGTGAAACGGAGGAAGCTTGGAAGCCGTGCATGTAACCAAATGCGAGATTCAAAAGTAAACAAAGGAAAAGAAGCGGCATTTGAAACCCACTATAACCGATTTTACGTGCATCAACATCAAGATCTGTCCGAAATCAATGCTGTTCGCTCAGGAAAGGAAAAATCATCAGTTGCAACAATCGGTGTTCCCTTCGGCGGACCCGGAGGAGGCTTAGGATCTAGCAAGCCAGAATCACGGCCCCAAATCAAACATAGCCCAGACAGTGCTCCTGCTCGTTCTCATCAAAGCACGATTTTAGTATCGGAAGGTATAGCTCTGCATGGCAATTCAGCCTCAAGATCTCCAGCGAAGCACCGATACTCTGAACCAGGAGAGCTGACATTGCACCATCATCCTACCAACTCTTCGAAATCTATCTCCACGCAACATTGGAAGCATTCGAGCCTGTTCTCTGACACCCCCGCAGACATTCGAACACAAGTGTTGAAGCCCAGGAAGGAAGTGAATAGGTCTTGGACCAATCATTTTCCGGCCAAGGCGAAAATTCCTCGCCGCGCTAACCTACCCGCCTCTTCTTTACTATCAGCTCCATCCACACCTAGCGAAGATCATCAACATCCACACTCGATTAATGCTCTACCAACATCTACGAATCTTCATGCGAATACACCCTCCTCGAGCACACATTATTCACCTTCACTGCTCAAATATCTTAGCCTGTCAATAGCTTCCAATCATCCGTTAGACCTTTGTGCTCAAGAGAATACCTTTGACACTGCACTTGGTCATAAGAGCCACTTATCTCGAAGACGTTCTGCTTCAATGCCAAACCTCTCGTCAACGTGGGCACCAATGAATATGAATTCCTCCGACCGTTTCGGGCCAACCTCATTGCCCACTCCACCCCGTGAACGACCAAGCTCGCTCCCGCCTTATGGGAACGGACCGTTCCTCCAAAACCTTGTTGGCCCTCCTCATGGTCAAGTCGACGCGTCTTTCAACGCAGACGACTCTTCCGCCCGCAATTGGCAACTCAATTCGAACTTCCAGGGTCAACACGGCATCAGCCTCTTCGATAGGCAGAGTGTAGCCTTCACACCTAGCCTTCATCCTCGCCAAGCCTTGACACAGCCATCGAACCACCAAGACATGACCGGCCCATCCGTAACCGCAATGGCTGCCGTTGGACCACAGGATAGTCGCCGACGGTTGGAAATAAAACCCAACTACAGCCATGAGGAGGTTAAGTCGCTCATGTTCAATTTCGTCCGACAAGCGCAAACGCTAAAAGTAGAAAGCGCAAATTTGCAGTCCTTAAATACTGCCATGAAGAAAGGCTTTGAGAGCCTCCAACAAGGAAAAGCTGATCTGATGCAACAGATCCAGCGCTACGAGCGCACTGTTGCACAAAAGGACCAGCAGATTGAGGCCATGCGAAGACAAGGCTCTTCGCTACAGCACCAGTACAAGCGAATCTGGGACGAACATCACCAACTCCTTGCAACTATACGGAAGGAGAATGGCACTGGTAACCCTAGCGCAATAGCTAAGAAAATTCGGTGGAATCATTCGCCCAATGCTGTTGGCGCTGCTAGCCAAGGCGATCAATCTAGCGAAAAGGCGTCCCCAGTGTATTCTGCCAATGGAGCACAGCTACCCATCTCGAGACACGCTTTCGAACAGGCACATACGGGACCCCACCAACATTTTCAGCCAGTATCTGTTCCTTGCTCATCGGAGGCAAATGTAATCAATGCCTTGAACCGGTCCTTGTGCCAGCAAGGGAACGCTGCCGCATACCACAATGGCGCAAATCCATCGCAGACAGCGTCAATTCCTGCTTACCCAAAGGCAAGTGTAGCGAACGCTTCGAGCCGGGCTTTGGTGCAACCACGGTTCGCTGCCGCGAACCCCAACAGCGAAAACTCACCGCACGATGGATCCACTAGATGGGTACCTTCAGATCAACCACTCGGTGCCACTGTCCAAACAGTGACGACCAATGGTCAGAACGATCAGCGCCCCACAGAACATGTACCCACTGAGTGCGTGACCATCGACCTCACGGACGATTCTCAGTCACCCTCGTCTTCGGTACTCCAGACACGTCAATCATCTGTTCAGGGTGGAAATCCACCCTGCGACCTTCCATCGGGCCAATACCCACCAGATCAATACCCAATAGGGCACGTTGTATCAAGTCAATATCCGTCAGATCCGACCGCACAGAACCAAATGTCCCAGAGCCAACTACCACCGAACCGAAACTCACAAGACGAGAGCCTGGAAGCCAGGCAAAGTCAAAAGGAAGCATTTGCTCGCATGACCCAGAAATCTTGTCTCTGGGTCCAAGGAGAAAATCCCTTTAGAAAGGGAACAAAGACTGAACAGCAAGTTGGGCTGCCAAATTCCAGACGACCCTCACAAAGCAGCACGGAGGAACCCGTTTCTTTTGCACAATCTCCGCAAGCGGGTCGTGTGGCGCCCTTGCCGGAGACCGCGACTGGCCGAAAGACCAAAAAGAAAGCCCCAGAGAAGACAAAGGTTGCCCTGGACGCTGAAGCTAAAAAGGAGAGGGCGAAAGCTTACAGAAAGACCGCTGCGGAGAAGAAGAAGCGAGAGAAGGAAGCTGCAAAGCAATCGCTTCCGAACGAGAATATGCCGAACAATGCCATGCGCGCTCAAAAGCAAGGCAGAAGAACAGCCAATGGAGAAAAACGCCTGGAGCAAGCTCGAAACCCGTCGGAAGAACCCGGTTCACGGGAGCCTCAAAAGACGCTAGATGGTCGATTGTATCAAGACGACGCTGGCGTCCAGCAAGTCTTACACGAAGAAAGCGTGAGGCAAGAGGCGTCGGATGACCACGATTCGCTTTTCGGAGAGAGTGAAGCGGAGGGCCGGGAAGATGCAATTTCACCAGATGCTGACATTTTCATGCACGACGACGCTGCTGCCACGGAGCAAGATAGGGAGGCTGCATTTGCGGCAGAAATCGAGGCAGAATTCGAAGCAGATGTAGATGCTGGAAGAATGGTAGGTTTCGAGCAGGGTGATGCGTCCAGTGGCCAGACCTCTGACCCAATCGCCCCACCCAACAGCGATGATGGATTTCATGATTTCTCTGAGGAGAGCGAGGAGGAATAGATGACAGAGGATGGAACGACCCGGTTGAGCTGAGCATCATGAAAGTGGTAACTTACATATGTGTTGAACACCGTTGTGTTGAAAACCGCATTTGTTTACAGTGCTGGTGGCCCTTTTCCTCAGGTGCTGAAAGCGAGGACACCATTTCGAGACCTGTTCGAGGAGTGGCCAAGCACCGTGAAGAAGGTTCTGTGTCATATCATGGAAGCGTTGTACATACTGAGAAGCATTAGCAGATACCCAACCTAGCTACTAGCTACCGCAATACATATGATGATCTAACAAACCTCTACAAGCGGCCGCTGAGTATCTTTAGTGTGCTCTACATCGAAGACGAGATCCTCTCTTGGTCCATAAAAGACCTGGACACATCCGTTCAAGCGTTTCGTCGTCCCTTTTATTCATACATTTTAGAGCTGTATTGGCGCACCGTCGCAGACGAACACCTTCTACCCTGTTTGTCAACGCAAGTCTGCCTCGGCCCCTGAACCCCTTCCAATGCAACCGTATCGCTACTAGCTTCTTCAAAGGCTCGTGCAGATCAAAGCATGCTCTACCGGTTATCTAATGGTTAGATAACGGTTACGAGAACTCGGATTTCCCAATTCGATGGACATGATACGTGCTGAGCAGTCACTTGTTCATTCTGCCTGCAAATCTAAGTCTATATGAAATGAGCTAGGCAGAATGGTCCAATCGATGCCCCATTATTGCCTCGTGCAAATTCGAGTAGAACGCCTTTCGCAATGCAAGCCAAACTGTTCGAATGAGTATCCGTCATGACGTTAGCAATGCAAGAGCTCCCAAAACACCCATCGTCATCAGCAACAAGCTGCTAGGTCGCAAAGGGTACGCCGCGGACTGTACAAGCCCACAGCAAGCGCGACTGTAGGTGACATTGTTGTGCTGAGCAGCGACTTCGAAGACTGACCCGGGCGAAGAGCCTTGGTTGTAGTAATCCACCTGACGCAGATTTCGTAGTCAGCATGGCTTTCTCAGGGCAAGAAGGCTAGTCGTGACCCAGGTTCGGGGAATAAAAGAGTGCTCTGCTCTCTGAAGATAATCTTTCAAACCCGGAATTCGTAAAATATAGGGGGGATGAGTTGCTCCGAAATATACATACCAGGAGAAAGTTGGGGGAATTGGGCCAGGCCGCTACGACAAGGGTTAGCAACGCGGCTTCGCGACTGCAGTCTTCATTCTAGCTTACCAGCGCAGTTGTTGGCCATGAGACCGAGGCTTCCAGTCCCGTTAAGTGCATTTGTTTGATTGATCAGAGCCGTAGTTGGTACCAAAAGGCTCGTCCCCGCGAGAGAAATCTCGGTATTGAGGTTGTGGTTCGCCATATACATCCGGTTTTCCGCCTCTTGACGACTCAAATTGGGCGGCCTTTGCTGGGTGCAAGGGAAGCTCTGGTTGGTGGGACTGAAAGGTGTCTCCCACATCTGGCTGAATTCGTCCAAAATGTATGGGACTTCAGTCTGGTTGGCGTTGTAATCCATAAAGATGACGGCTCGTTTCCCCATGAGAATCATGTCTGACAGGGTAGGCCAGGATGATATGTTCATTGGAATTTGAGGCGGCACATACGCGTAGTTGGAAAGTCCGGAGTTTACAATTGGAGCACTATAATTGCCGACGCCGATGAAGTCGGAATTGCTCAGAAGTATTGTGACCACATCGTAGGGGTGAGTCTTAATCCAGCCGGTTATGTTTGTGAGATAGGATTGGACCGTACCAACGTCGAGAAGATTGCAAGAAGTATGGCAGCAAGAGACGGTGCTGGTGGTAGCATTGTAATGTGTCTCGGTTTCGAACATTCTGATGCCGTCATCTAGCTGATCGATGACTCCAAGCTGTTGATTAGAGGCTGCATTGTTAAGCAGGACGAAGGGGCTGTTGTGTGCCCCAACATAGGTGATATTGCTGTACTTTCGACTGCAGAATTCGGGATAATTGTTGCATGCTTGCGTATTCGTTGGGATAGCCGAGGTTGACGTTCTGCTGGCCGTCGAGTTTCCCATCATTGTGCCATTCGAGGATGTTGAAGATGACCGCATGGAGCCTTGTAAGAGAGTCAGGCTTGTTGAGGTTGATTGCTTAGAGGTTGACGAAGATGAGGCATTGGCGACGGCCATGGTAGTTTGGAATATGGCAGTGGTGCCATTGAGGGTGGAGGTGGTAGTGTATGAAATGTAAGAAACGTCGGAGCCCGTAGGAAGGAGATCTCCTCCCAAGTTGGATATGCTGGTGCCTGTTGTAAGGGAGCCTGAGAGTTGGATATCCGATGCCACTTGGGCGCTGACCTCAATGGCAAGAAGTAGGGTGAAGGGGAGAAGCAATAACATTATCAATTTCGAGGAACGGGGTACAGGTGATAAAGGATAGAGAAGAGAAGAGAAGAGAAGAGAAGAGAAGAGAAGAGAAGAGAAGAGAAGGAGTAGAGGTGAAGCACTAGTAGGGAGGCAGGCTGCTTGACAAGCTCTTAGTGAATGAAGGCGAGGTTGAGATTACTTTAAATAGGGCTATACTGGACTAGAAATGGAGGGTAGAAGAGGAGCAAGACGCGGTGAGACAGATGTCATAAAGTATTCGCCTTAGATATTAAATAGAGAGACAAGACACTCGTGCCTCTGATGCAAATCCGCGGTAAAAATCCGCCGAAGCACCGAAAAGATGAAGAAGAAGAAGAAGATGAAGAAGAAGAGTAATGATAATAATAATGATAATGATAATGGTAATGATAATAATAATTATGAGAAAGTATGTTATTATTATTAAGCACTGAGCACTTTTCTCCATACGTCAATCCCGATATCAAAACCCTTTTTCTCTCTTTCTTTTCCTTTTTCTTTTCCTTTTCTCCCTTTTTATTTTTCTTCAAATTTTTAGAAATGACTGCATGTAAGCCAGGATGAGATGCCAGTAATGTAGTAGGGAGACGCGTCTACAGTGGCGTTGAGAAGCTTCGTCACTCGGTGTTTCTTTGCATGTTGATTGGGCGGCTGCAACGAAAGTGGTTTACATAAAAGAAATAAAGTTGTGCGTTGATGACGTCGGAGCGGGCTTAAAATAATCATGCATAAAGTATCACCAACGGCTCCGACTTCACATTTCCATAATAATGCAACCTTTTCTCCAACTACATTATCCATGCCGGTGCCGAGCGTGTCTAGGTAACACTCGTACATTATGAATATATGTATATATTATTTTTTTATCCTTTAAGCAACAAGCAATAGAATCACACCAGCCTAGCAGAGCAAACTGAACCATCTGCCTTTCTTTACCCTTCTTTCCTATCCTCTCGCTCCCTCAGGGCCCTCCCCCCCCCTCCCCCCCCAAAGTCTTTCCTCTCCTTCCCATTGCTCACCACCAATGGCCCTCCCAGCTTTCGTCTCGAACCACCGCTCACGCAAAGTACCACAAGAGAAATCTACAGCACATATCTCTCCATCCTCCTCCGGCCTTTCTCCTAACAATGACGCTCTACATCCTTCGCCCTCCACCGTCAGGGCAGCGACCCGCACTCGTCTCATTTTCTCCCTCCTCACCTCTCTCCTCTTCCTCATCGCCCTCGTCTTCCTCATTCTCGTCGAGGTCGGCAACACAAACGCTCATCGGGCAGTCGTGGGAAGCATCTACTTTTTGAAGCTCGACCTCAGCCATATCATTCCCCAAGCTGTTCCCCAGGCTACTCTCATCAATTCAATCGCAAGAACATTGGGGCTCCACGATTTCTATCAAGTTGGTCTATGGAATTACTGCGAGGGATATGGGAGTGGCATTACGGATTGTAGCAAGCCGCAAACGCTGTATTGGTTCAATCCGGTTGAAATCATTCTCAATCAGCTACTCGCTGGTGCCACGAGTATGCCACTCATCATTCGCACGCCTTGTGGTACCTGTAAATGCTAACTGGCAAAACTAAGTTGCCCTGCCTGCAAATATCATTTCGGCTCTCTCTCTTGTTCGAACAGCTTCTCACTGGGTACGTACATTTCGGAGCTGACCCTTCCTATTTGGTGTTGAAATGGATCCCCAGACCTCCATTTCCTACCTCGAATAAGCAATGCTGACCCCGAAAGATGTTTGCACTCTTCTTGACTGGTGTTTCCACCTGCTTCGTTTCCATCTTCCTCACCCCACTGAGTATTTACACGCGCTGGGCGACTTTCCCCATCGCCATCTTCGCTTTCCTCAGCGCCCTCACAACGACTGCCGCCAGCATCATTGCCACCGTCATGTTCATCATATTCGAAAAGGTCATCCACAGCGCCGAAGGCGAGGTTAACATCGTGCCAGAGATTGGGGTCAAGATGTTTGCATTCATGTGGGTGGCTAGCGCGTGTGCAATTGTCGGATGGTTGGTTCAGCTAGGCTTGTGTTGCTGTTGTGCCAGCAGGCGCGACGTGAGGCTAGGAAAGAAGACTGGGCGGGCAAAAGCGTGGAGAGAGCGCGGAGAAGTGCCGCCTCATGAGACGCGGGAGAGAAAAAGGGGGCTCTTTGGGCGGAAAAGGTAGTCACGGAAGGCTGTAAATATGTAGAAAAGCCAATATCTCATTTCCTGCGTCTCCATGTATTTCGCGCTCCAGTATATTACGACATTGTCACGGAGGACCTTGAGAACTAAGATCGCTTTAGACGGCCATAGTATTCTGATGCAGTGTTTCAATTACCTGCTATCCTAGGAGTAACATACAATTGAGTAAGTCCACCGAAATGATATCGCACATGAAGAGCCTGGTGTTGTTCAATGCGTCCGAGACCTGACTTGCCATCGGTAGATAGTACTTCACCGGGTATCTCCGCTCGTAATGCTCGCTGACTGCGGGTAAGACTCGGACCTGGAAAAAGCATTGTGGGGGGTATAACGCGCTGATGCCCGAAATCAACCCTCCGAAACTCCGTGCATATGCCATATTGCTCCTCGCTACGCATCTCAAGCCTCGGGGAAATGTAACTCCTCGGCAGGCACGTTATAGTGCTTAGCATCGTTCGGGGTTGTGGCGCCCTCGTAGCCAACCAAGGTCTTGTCCTCGTCATCTGCCTTGTCTTCATCATCCTCCGAGTCGCTCAAAACGAAGGCCGTGTCTTGAGTATTGGAGAATGTAATTACTCCATCGCCAGCATTCGCATCGGGTGCGGCCTGGGGAGCGGTAGCATACTGCTTTTCTTCCTCACTCTCGTATTCCTCCTCGTACTCCCCTTCCTCCTCGTCCTCCTCGTTCTCCTCAGAGCTATAGGATTCAGAAGCTTCACCGTCCAACTTGTACCCACTGCTTTCTTGAACATCCTCAGCACTGTCATAATCTGCCCCTTCACGGTCCAGGAGGTCCCCGTTCATCCCCTGAGCATCCTCATCGCTGTTGTAATCTGCCTCTTCGCCGTTCAAGAGGATCCCATTCGTCCCTTGGACATCCTCAGCGCTGTCATAATCTGCCTCTCCACGGTCCAGGAAGTTCCCAATCATTCCCTGCACATCCTCAGCGCTGTTGTAATCCGCCCCTCCACGGTCCAAAATGTTCTCGCGGCTTCCCTTAACCTCAGCAGAGCTATTGTAGCCCGAAGCTCCGCGGTCCATCTTATATCCATTGATGCCCTGCGCGTCCTCATACCCAGCGTCCCCCTTGTACTCCAGAAAATCTTGGTATTCTTCGCCGTTGCAACGCACGCCTTGGTAGGCTCGTTGTATACGTGAATAGCTCGAATAGAGATGACTGGACCCCTCCTCATAGCCACTTGGCGATTGCTGCTCCTCGCTATTGAACGATGCGCTTCGAGAACGCTTTGAGTGACGTGCATATGGATCTTCTTCTTCGTAGTCTTCACCACTCAGAGATCGCTTCATACCATGAGGCATATTGACAACATCTTCATCAGTGTCGGAACTCTCTAAACCTTGGACAGACACAGCCTCTTGCTGACCATTCTGGACACAATCCTGGCCAACAAGATGCTGATGATGACGCAGGTCGGGATAATCGCCTTCCTTGTTATCATTGTGATTGGAAATTGCTCTGGATGACTCCCCATCTGGAATGCGCACGGCGTTACGTTGTCCCTGAGATTCGTTTTCGACATCGTTTGGGTGTATGTCGTTCAGCTTGTGGACGGCTGTAGACTCAGTGTCCGTCATGAGCTGATTCTTGATTTCCTCCTCGTACTTCGCACGCAATTCTGCCTTCACACCCGCTTGGAGCTCTTCGGCCAACTGCTGCTTGACCTCTGTCGCATACTTCGCGCGCAACTCTGCCTCCACCTCCGGTCCAAGCTCTTTGATTAACTGCTGCTTGACCTCTGTCTCATACTCCGCTCGTAGCTCTGCCTTTACCAACGTTACAAGCTCTACTGCCAATTGCTGCTTAACTTCTGGCTCGAACTCGGCTTCCAACTTCGCCTTCACCACAGATTCAAGCTCCCCCACGAGTCTGGCCTTTGTCTGGTCTTTGACGTCATGCTCATACGCGGATACGATCGTATCTTCGTCTTCGTAAACCTTCTCACGAATCTCTTCTCGGTAATGGTCTTCTAGAATTGCCTTGATGTTTTTGGTCATTTCATCGAGCAGTTTTCCCTTGTGATCGTCGATGGACAATCTGCTCTCTTCGGCACGGCGGCGATTAGCTTCAGCCTCAGCATGCCTGATTCGTGCGGCACTCTTGATTTCTGTCTCTCTCCTCGCCTTTCTTGCTTCGTACTGATCGTGTTCATCTTGCGCTTTGGCTTGTTTGCCCTTTTCGATGATGGCTTGGAAAGGTGCGTATGCCTTTCTATCGAATCCAGGGCCACCACGAGCACTAGTCATACCGAAAACATGCTTCTGCATTGACGATGTGTAGCTGGCTTCGGGTCGTTCCATTGGCGCACAGGTTTGCCCGACGCGACGCTGTGAGGTTTGAACGTTGGCGGATGCAAATTGAGATCAGGTGGCTGCAAGATGAGTGAAGTTTAGAGAATACAAGCGAAGTATCTGTATTGAAACAGCGCAGTTATGTCGAAAGTGAAAGTGTGTGTACTTTATTAGTTGTGTGTGTCATGGAATTGGTTTGGAAAAATGGTGGTGAACGCGGTTAGGAGGCTGGTAGAAATTACGCTAAGATAAAGCTTTAGTGCCCCTTATCTCGCTTGCAACTGACTACTCGTTTCCACCCCCATTTGCACGTTACCCCCATTTGCACGCTCTTAAAACCGATAAATCCGACGCAACACCAAAATGCCTACCTTTCATCAAATTTGTATGGCAAACTAGCACAATAATGATGGTCTTTTATTTCTATCCAGGCTTAAGATCGGAGAACCTAAATCACCGTTTTTTGGGCCTTATCGGCCTACCATGTCTTGAAAAAACCGTCACTACCTCTTCCTCTACCTCTTCTACCTCTTCTACCTGGTGTACTACCTCCTCTTCTACTACCTCCTCTTCTACTACCTTCTTACCTCTTCCACCTCTTTCACCGCTTTCACCTTTTTCACCTCTTCCACCTCTTTCACCTCTTCCACCTTTTCCACCTCTTCCACCTCTTTCACCTCTTCCACCTTTTCCACCTTGCTGCGGTAAAGCCTCTAATAAAGCCTCCGGTGAAGCCTGTGGAGCCCGCCACTGTGACGGAGCAGCTCCTTATCTATCTCGCTGTTATTGCTGTGGTGGAGCGAGATTTAGTGACATCAGTGGGCCTGGTGTGGGAGGTACAGTAGCCTTTTTCTTGACAGGACTTCTACCTCTCTTCGTGTCTTCAAAAATAGCTGGTCCGAGGTGATACCTACTATGCCAGGCCTACAGATGGCGACTATGGTATCGTAGCATTGGCCATCATGGTAGACTATAGTGATAGGCCATTTGAATGAGTGGTAGTGGTAGCCATGGTAGTGGTAGCTATCTATGTCGGATTTATCGGATTTAAGAGCGTGCAAATGGGGGTGGAAACGAGTACTCCTAGCCTTACGAAACCATTGGATGCGGGAAAAATTACCGTGCCCCACCAGTTTGACACCAAACACCATATGAAGAGTAGAGTATTTTAAGTAGTCCCTTTGGTACGGATTATGTAGATCTCGTCAAGCCCTAAGTAAAGTATTTTTACGCGGTTGTTCCTGTGATCAGGAATTTTGTTGTGGAGATCAAGGGTATCTCTCACTGCTACTGCAGCTTTTGTAAGGTCGTTTGCCATACTACTGGGGATTTGTAAAGGAATCTGTGTCTACCCAACACAGTCACTCATCATTGAAGACATAATCAGCATTCCTTCAAGCCAGCAAAATACAGCAAACGCAATGGCACCGGCTGTAACTATTGATAATACTTCAGACTTCGCCCTGGTCCAGACAAAGACAACAGGTCGCTCTTCACCACCGCGAAGCCTCCTGCTTTCCCCTCCATCCCTATCATCCCACCCAGAGAAATTGAACAATGTTCTCGCGGCACATGATCGGAACGCCACCGACATCCAAATGCTCGATCGCCTATCTTTATCCCTCGTTTCCCTTCCAGAAGCTACATACGATATCATTCTAGTTCTCTCAGGCGCAGACGACACACGAACAGAATCGAACAAGCTGCTCAACCGCGATGTCTTATCGCGCATCGTCCGATCTTTGAAGCCCGGTGGGAGGTTAAAGAGCCAGGACGGAAAGTTTGCCACAGACGATACAGAAGAACGGAGGGAGGCTATTTTCGCCGGCCTGTTGGTGGAAGGGGATGGTATGGTGAAGCCAGATGATACAGCTACACAATCGGTGCCACTGCGTCTCGGCAAGAATAAGAGCAACGGTGGAACGGCTACGACGAGCGCAGCAGGGACAGGCGCTGTCTCTTTGAACCTTAACGCAAAGCGAAGAAATGGGCCTCCAGCGTCAATGCAGCCAGCAGGCGTAGGATACGTTAATTTCAGTGATGATTTCGGGGCGCCGGAAGTTGATGACGAGGACGATCTAATTGACGAGGACACTCTACTTGATGAGGAAGACTTGAAGAGACCTGTTGTCCAACGTAAGTCTCCAATAACCGTCTATCCACTTCTGATTTTTTCCTGCTAACAAAATTGCTCCACAAAGCACCCGAATGTCGGCCCAAAGCTGGCAAACGTCGGCGTGCTTGTAAAGACTGCACATGTGGCCTTGCGCAACGCCTCGAAGCTGAGGAACACGCCAAACGCTCTAATGCCGATCAAGCCCTCGCAAAACTGAAAACGAACGAATTGGCAGAGGTAGATTTTACGGTGCAAGGCAAAGTAGGAAGTTGTGGTAACTGTGCGTTGGGAGATGCATTCAGGTGTGATGGGTGCCCCTATGTCGGTCTACCCGCGTTTAAACCTGGGGAAGAGGTTAGACTGGTGAACGATGAAGTTCAACTGTGACGGCAGATTCATCGCCACGACAGCATATGTAGATAGCAGCAAGACCTAATCTTCCCGAATGGGCAGACACGCAAGCCCATTCACACTTCCTGGGCATCAGATCCCGCATCGTTATAGTCAAGGAATGGTCCACTTCAATGCAGTCAGAGCACATTGACGAGGAGGTCCCGACTCAGCTGTTTCTTCCTTCTCCGCAAACGGGCCCTGTTTCGGGCGGGAATATTCCGACTGCCGAGATTGTACTTCCGAGATCGTACTCTAGCAAACAGCACGTGCGTGTTCTTCTCTATTGAATAGTTTGCTCAACTGTGTTGATCTATTGAGTATCTGGTTCAGAAGGGAGTAGGAGAAAACCTCGCAAGTATTCTACCAGTTATTCAGTAGCTCTAGTACAGGTTGGATATCCCTATCATGTCTCGTCCGGTGTATCAACGAGCGTCTTCTACAAATCTAAGGCCGGGCACAGCACCGAGATCATTGGAAGGAAAATTAGCAATTGTGAGTACATTCTTTGGAAACAAGTCATCCCCGATCCATACCATGATTGAGTCCCAAGGCATGAGTCATGTTCCCCAAGCTTGTTTTGTGACCTGAGTTGCCTACTTCAAAGACGTCATATTAACTCCGACATGTGTAGGTCACAGGAGGGTCTCGAGGTTTGTCTCAAGGTTACTACAGTCCCCGAGTAAGAGCTGAAGCGCAACCTGAAGGAATTGGCGCTGCCATTGCCCGTAATCTTGCCTCGAAAGGCGCTTCTCTAGTCCTAGGCTATACTTCCGATTCCTCGAGCGAGCCCAGTGCCCAACTTGCTTCTTCATTGGAGAGCTCCCATGGCATCAACGCCATTGCGGTCCAGGCGGACATAGGTAACCCACAAGGTCCAGCCCACCTAGTCACGACGGCCAAAAATCACTTCGCCCACCCAAGATCTGGCAAATTCCAAATAGATATCATTATTAACAACGCGGGCGTCTCAAAGAACATGCCCTTAGAAGAGATCACCTCCGAAACCTTCACCCAACAGTACACCGTCAATGTCCTCGGCCCTATCCTTCTGCTTCAAGCCGCACTCCCTTTTCTGCCCAAAGATCGCTCCGGCCGGATCGTGAACCTTTCGTCAGTATCGTCAAGCCTAGGTTTTCACGGGCAGACGGTGTACGGCGGCACTAAAGCAGCATTGGAAGCCATGACTCGAACGTGGAGCAGAGAGCTGGCAGAGCGAGCAACAGTCAATGCCGTAAACCCTGGGCCTGTGGCCACAGATATGTATGAATTGACGGGTCCGGAGTTCCAACAGCAGATGAAGCCATTCATGCAAAATGCTCCATTGCAGAGAGTAAGGGAAGGAGTAGATGACGAGAGATTTGTCAAAGATGCCGAGTTGGCAGGCGGAAGGCCTGCATATGATCACGAGATTGCCGGTGTGGTGGGTATGGTACGTATTTTCGGAGTTCATATTTCCTCTTCTGGACCAGATCTTGAGCCTTGAGACATGTTTTGAGAGTGTCGACTCTGTAGACATATTCCAAGGTTCAAGATACCCTCTCAAATAGGCAACGCTGACTCTGAAAATATAATCCAGCTCTGCTCAGAGGACAGTGGCTGGTGCACAGGGTCCGTGGTTTCTGCCAACGGTGGATTCAAATTCAGCTATTAGATGTTTGATATCAGAAGACGAACAGAACGAAGCTAGAGTTCGTGTCAGTGTTCCGACAATGCACGTAGATACTCCGGGCGGTCCCTGTGCCTAGACGATTGAGATCCAAAGAATACTAAGCACAACATCAAACCCCTTCGATTCCGCCTTTTCATACTTGAAGTTCCACATCCCATCTTTCTTATTATCCCAGTATGCCCCAGATGCCGAATGCATACCTCTTCGCCCCACCGCACTCTCTGCACCTACCGCATCTTGTGAACCGGCATTCGAAGGTACGTCTTTGACAGGACTTGAGTGTGGTGTGGTGTGCTGAATGATGGTACTTGTGACTGCAAACTTGTATAGAGGTTGCTGGCCAGAGTGTGAGGACTCGGAGATGAGGTTTTGGAGGGTTGTATTTATGATGGCAGTATTCCACGAAGAGGTACTGGCATGTTCATAGCTAGTGACCGATTCAAATGCGGAGTCGCAGGCCTAAAGATCTGTATGTTGGTAACTACCCAAACGAATTTCTTGTTAGCGAAGACATACATCGTTTGCAATGTCTGTAAGACGTGGGATTGGTATGGGCTGTGACGAGTTCAGCGGGTAAGGTCTCAGACAGCGATATGAGAGAACCTTACAGCTGTTGATTGAGCCTGGGAGCTAGGTAGTGAAGCCATGTTGTGGAGGACGAACAGATGAGACGGGTAAGCAATAGTAGTATCAATGATGGGATCTCCTCGTGAGTGGAAAATCGAAAGGAAGTTGTTCCTCACAAGACCAAACGCTTCCGGAGCTAGTGGAAATGCAAGACAAGACAACCTGAAACTCAGTCGACAGATCAGCTCTTTTCACACACATTGCCGTTCCATCTTATGGAAAATCGTAACACTACGTCACCAGACAAATAGACTCACCAGCTTCCCATTCGAACTGCTCATCTCCATCATTCGCCCCTTGGATCCTCTCTCATTCCTCCACTGCCGCCGGGTTCATTCGCGTTGCAAGTCCTGTGTAGACTCACTTCCCGAATACCAAGCCTATCAGACAACATTCTTGAGTAATACAGAAGCACCCATGATGCGAAGCCGCGCCGATGGACGATAGAGAGAGCAGCCGAATTCTTCGATGTTGTCCAAGAGGATGTTGAGGTTGATTACTACCTTTTCGTTGAACTTCTTTTGAGCTATCCTCGGTTGAGGTCATGTCTCTTGATTAGGGAACAGGGGCAAAGGTTTGGAGTGGTTGGTTGCTTTTCGCCCGAGGCTTCTTCATTCGCTCCAAGTCTCCTCACGCAAGGTCTACGTGCGCTTTCTGCCCTCCCGGCGTGGCAGTACAGACTCGGTCTACAATCGGCGCTGCTCCTAAACTCCAGCAGAAGCTTTCCGTATTGCATGGGCTTCAATTACAAGTAGACCTGGCAGGGTCGGCTTGACCAACCTCTGGGCATGATGATTTACTAGGCTGTCTGCATTCCCTCGACTTTCAATGATCAATCCGAATAGGCGCATGATCGGACACAGCTGGGACGCTGGACCCAGCTAAAGTGCACGGATTTGAATCGATGGAGCTTCATAAAAGATAGGAGCACTGCCTATGGAGTACCAATCAAATATTTTCCTCGCAGGACCTCAGGATGTATCAGCATTGGGAAGACTGCTGCAAAGCCGTAAGACCGCATCCTGCGCCGTAAGTGCGACAGATCCGGACAAAGCCAAACCGGTTCCTGCCGCCTTTTCTTACATCCATTCACCCATCTCATGTATATCATCCCGTCTCGCCCTTCCAGTCAGGCCTCATGTTCCCGTAACCCGCAGCACAAAATTGACCACGACCGCCCCAGCAAGTACTACCGCCAACACAGTTGGACCAAACCGATCATCAAAGCCTCCTTGCCCTCTCAGCCGTATACTCCTCGCCCGCCAATGGAAAGTCACAAGCGCATAGATCATGCAGCCCATTGCCACGATCGTGAACAGCCCGGCGCAGATGCGGGAAGTGGCATCGGAGCCGAAATTCAGCAGACCGATTGAGAGGCCACCGAGAATGACGGTGAAATTGAGCCAGGAGAGAAAGGTGCGCTCATTGGCGAAGAAGACTTTGGGCTCGACTCGGGTGGGGAGGGCAATGCGTTTGCCCGGGGCGGTCTGCAGAAGGGGTTGAGATGACATTGTAGAAGAATCGTTGGCGGGGTGCTTGAACAAGCGAAGCAACAGGTCCGAAGAGCTGCGGAGAGGTCAGCAGGAGGGGTCGCTGGGGGTGGGGGTCTGTCAGTACCTTACACACAGCGGTTTTCAGAGCAGCAACATAAGCAATGGCTCGAGAAGAAGTATGCGTATGAATACAGATAGATATGACGCTCGGTCGTACCGAAAATGGCAGTCAATGGATGCTGGAAAAGAAAGAAAATCATGCAATTTCAGCAGCAAGAAAAAGCGGCACCAGCGGCCCGAGGCGGGGGCAACGTGCCTGGACGTGAAGGATTACCCCGCCAGATTGCGCATGTTTTTTCTACCAAGTAAGACTGAGATGAATTGGAGATACCCATGGATAGAATGATCGAGATTTCATTGCTCAAGCACTTGCTACGTGGGTATCTAGCATCACTGTTGATCTGACAAGAATTTGAAGCCTTTGCACATGGGGCCCCACCAGCTCACAGCTCCTTCTGCATGATCTCATCCCCTCTATCAGCAATCGGTAGGATCCGATGGTGTACTACCTCTATTGCAGAGAGTCATGAATTCGTCTGCTCTCTGTCACAGGATGTCAGTCGTTGGCGTCCATGAAGTAATTAAGAACGTACCCGTAAAGCTCCTTCAGACCAGGCACCGGTACCCTGGCAAAGTAGATCGTCATCACTGGGGTAGCCCTGATTTTCCTGCCATTACCATTCCCGGACTGCTTCGCTCTCTGATCTGCTTCTTTGGGATTTACCATGATCTCAAAGGCGTCTTCCATTTCTTCGTTTCCATCGACGACCTCATGATCATGCCGCACCTCCTCCGAAGCGCGCCGAGGCTCGCCTCCTACCTCATCAACCCCCCCTTGCGACTCCTCTCCAGCTCGCTCGTTTTGCCATTCTAAGAGCGTTTTTCCATCGCCCCTACCCTTCACTGATTTGGTCTTCAGCTCCGCGAGTTGTCCGTCCAGTTTGGAGTACTGCCACCACTGTCCCTTGTCGCGCTCGATGTCTTGTCGTGCTATCTCAACGATGCTGACCATCTTACTTGCGACCTCCGATTTGGCATGCAAGACAACGATACCCGGCTTGGAGTTCGGGTCTGCAAAGCTGAAGTTCTCGACTCGAAGCAATACCTTTTTGACCTTGTCGCTGATCTTAGCTGAAGAAAGGATTGACATCGTAGTGAAGTCGTATTTGGAGCTCAGATGTCGAACTTCAGGAGGTAGCTCTTGGGCAGAGGTATCGGGTGCGCGCTCGGGGCGTTCGATGTTCTCTATTATTGAGGTTTCTGAAATGTCAGATGCCGGTAGGTCATGGTGCTCTAGTCCAGTGTTGCTGTTGATTTTTCTACGTTTCTTGGGTCGACCAGATGTTGTCACCTCGTCTGCATCGTTCGGTAAATCGTGTTTGGTGCTCATCAGGGGCTGTGGACCAATGCTGGAGCTTGCTTTGGCGGCCTCCTCTGCCGAAATGTCTCTGTGGTCGATCCCCGGCTGCTTAGGTTTATGCTTCTTGTGAGCCATTCAGTGAAGAGATGCGGTACCACAGCGCTGGTATCTCAAGGTACAATTGTCTTGTAGAGGACAATGGAAGATGCTCGAAAGTTCAAGATGATTCACGGGGTGGAAGTGTCAACTCAGAGACACGCTTTAGAGTGACATGGAAGGAAATGGGCCGAGCACAGCAAAGCTATGTCTCGGAGACAACCTATCTGCATGTAACCTCTGGACAGTTGCGCTCAGTGTTATATTGAGTTATGATCGATTTCATATTCACTTGATACTCGCTCTACTTCTTGAGGCAGTTTCTCTAAGTATTCGTAGTTATTGTGGTCGTATTATTTACCTCTGCACGTTCGAGGCGGTTCTTGTCTATACGGCTTAGTGCCGGGATTTGCCGCGAAAGAAAATCATTCCATAATGCAGCACCAGCACCTTCCTTTGATCAGAGGAAATAAGAATGAAAAGATGAAGAAAATCATTCTGCTGTCGAGTGAAGCGAAGAGATGACTGGAGTTATGACGTGAAGAGTGTGGCCTTGGAGAAGGAATTTTAGGTGTGTTATATTATCTATCTACATATCCGATGTCTCATACCTTACGGAGGTACATACATTACACATTTCTGTATGGGAATGTGCACATGCGAGCGTCTATTTAATGTTTTGGAAGCAGATTCGATTCGATAGCTTCGGATTTCTTCGTCTTGATTACTATTATTTGCTCAATTGCTACGTGCGTTTCTTTATATGTATGGGGAAGAAAGAGGGAATAGAAGGACAGTCCGAAAGAGAGAGAGAGAGAGAGAGGAAGATGGGAGATGGAGAAATGCCGTTTTGCCGTTTTGCCGTTTGCTGTTTTCTTTTCTTCGCTTCAATTGCAATCCCGGCCGCTAAAAAAGTGTGGCTTCGGTAAACCCTGCTGGTAAGTTGGTGTCGCACCAATCACAATCGTATTGCATCATCATAGCCCGTCCAATGTGTCCACAACCCCCCCCCCCCAACTCACCCGAGCCCCCCGGCTTATTATTATTACTTTACCGTACTGACTAAGGTACCTTAGGTACGGTATTATTTTAGGCCCCGTACTCTGCAGGCTTGCATTACTTGCACTTGCACTTGCACTCACTGGCACTGGCACTGGCACTGGCACGTCCTTTCCCTTGTCACACTTGTGCCACCCTTTAACTTCCATCTTTCCCCCCCCCCCGAATGCCTCCAAAAGTCCTAACATCACCACGACCACCACCACTCTATATCTTATTAGCCCTCCTACCTCTTCAACTTCAACTTCTTCTTCTTCTTCTTCTTTGCGCTTCACCATACAATACCT